TAACTTCCAATAGATGATATTTTTAAGAAAATAATAATAATAATGTCATTTTCGTTTTCAAAAATAATAAAAAAAAACATAAAAACATAAATATCAAACAAAATTAAAAAAAATTTGAAATAAATAAAAAATTAAAAATCTGGTAAATAAAAAGATAGAGGAGAAGCAGAACAATGAAGAAGAAGGAGATTGAGAAAAGAGGAAGAGGAATAAGAAGAAGAAGATGAAGAAGAAGAGTAGGAATGTCGAAGCTTACCTATGAATTCTCCGCCGCTCACCGCTTGTTGCTCGCCGTCCGCCGCCCGCCGCCCGCCGCCCGCCGGAGCTCCAAATAAAACCACTGTTCATACTCTAAAATCGGTCGAAGACGGATGAGTTTATATGTATTGAAATCTGGAGATATGTGAGAGGAGGAGATATGATTGAACAGGAGGTGTAAAAGATCGAAGATGAGTTTGGCGTGGAGCAGATCTATTGCTTGAAGAGAGCTTGGGAGCAGATCTGGTTTCTGATTTGGTGCGTGAAGAGAAAAGAGAGGGGGAGAGAAGAAAGGAGAGAGGAGAGAGAGAATGAAAAAAATAGTTGTCCGTATGTATTCGTTGCTGCGAGAGAAGAAAGGGTAGGGTGGGAATAAAATAGAAAATAGTCCTATTTTGGAAATAAAAAAGCCTATAGTCCTATTCTTGCATTAATCATATATTTTAGTCCTACTTAGGTCAATTACTTAATATGCTGACAATTAGCTTTCTCATGAAGGGGCGGGTATCATTACGATCCAAATTATTTACTATGGAGTATTTTTATTGAATGTTAGATCTGAACCACTCAGTTTACACGCAACCTACCGGTATCCCCTTCGCAAATCAAGAAGGCAAGACCCAAATCACCCCATGGAGTATTATTAAGTGTTGAGTTTCATCTTAATTAAGAAGTCGGCTTCATAAGAGGAGTACTTCAAAACTTTATATGCCGATTTTTGTTTTTATATATAGTCGGTGACTCGGTGTGGCATAGCTTGATACGCATCCACAACATGGCAACTCGTTGGAGCAGATCAATCTTGTTGTGTATTTGCTCGATGTTGAGGATTACTTTGATCTAATTATATTGCTTGTTGGAGCTTGACATGGCTCTAATACCATATTAAATCTGATCTTGGACTCTATCCGGCCTAAAAGGACAACCTGGTAGGAGGATCGAAATAGCCCAAGACTTAAGACTATATATGTAACTAGTTTATGTTTGTATACGTAGCCAGTGTGGGATAACTTAATACAGGCAAGCGTCGTAGGTTATGCAGAGACAAAGCGGTGCACTATCATTAAACGCCTCAATATAAATATTATATTGTAGAGTGCTTGAACTAAATTACTAACTAATTTTTGGGAAAACGCTCTAATTAGATTACTATGCTTTTCATCCCGAAATACTACGTAGAAGTTGTTACTCTCATGATTGAAAAATATTGTCATTAATGGCTGAAATACTGTCATGTTAATGTCCAGTGCTGCAACTATTTGACATTAATGACTCCAAGATGGCAATAAATACCGCTATGTTACTCCTATAAAAACCAAACTTAACTGAACCAAACCGAAAAATACTATGGTTTTTGTTTGGTACTAATTCTCCCAACCCGTTCCAAACAAAACCAAATCAAATTGAAACAGATAGAAATCAAACCGAAAACCAATATGTCCACCCCTAATTCTTTTCTTATAATTATTGTTATTAGTCTCTTGTCTATGTGCGTTATTAGTCTTGTAACTTTATTTATTTGTAGACCATGTCATGTAATTTGTAAGTTTATCCATGTTGAGATTTTTTTTATCAGAACGTACATTTAATGGCAAAAAAGCACCTCAAAAGCTACTATGGGCAGGGAATTTTATGCTAGAAATTTTACATTCAGTAAAATGGTCATTGGATAAACGGATTGGTTACGTTATGAGGCATTATCTCAAGTGAGTTATGTTTCATCACTAACAATAGATATTGTTGGGGTAATTTGTCCAATACAGAGACGGTCCAATACCCCCGTGAAGAAATGGAACCAGAAACTCGCTAAGGTCAAAGCTGACCGGCCCAGCTAGGGCGGCAGGCGCCACGCAACACCACGTCCTTGGATCGTTTATACTAGGAACCATGGAGGTCTCAACCGGCAGGCTCAGTTTGCTTGGTGGGGAAGTACGGATTTTGGCGAGAAGCGCATTAAATGTATAAGCCAAGTTTTATGGTTGGGAGATTACTCATGCTATTATAAATAGAAGTGTTGGCAACGTGTATTCTCTAGCTTTACCTCTTCTCACTATTTCTTATGTAATCGCAACTTAGACTAGAGGCTCGGCGCTCGGCTTGATATGGTGTGTTGTAATCGTTCTAAGTACTTAATAGAACTCGGGACCTGTCCTTTTCCTTTTTGCTAGTACTTGTGCCATAAAAACAGACCACAACAGTACTTCGGCGGAGTATTTATAGAAGAAACCTGAGAAGTGGTACGATGAATTGCTGGAGATGCGTTGTTGGAGGGATAGTTGTTTTCTCTTAAGAATTGAGCCAATTTGCGGCAATCACGAACAACGTGACCTGGAATATTACAAAGGCAGCAAACAGGTCCACCCGAGTGATTAAAAGGAAAAGGAACTAGTGAAGGCTGGCGACCAGAACCACGTTGTTAGGAGCAGCCACGACCGCGGGGGTACCTCATGGTAGAACCACCAGAAGCAGAGTGAGCAGATTGGCGCTGAGTATTATGAGCAGTAGGCAGAAGAACACTTTTGATTTCAGCAGCTTCCTTAAGCGTCCGTTCATGATCAGTGAGGATGCGTTGACGTGCACTTGTCGTGAGGTGCACTCACAATAATAATACAATACGACACTAATACGTAGTATAGCGAAGTAAGGTTCGTATCCACAGGGAAAAGAATATTTCTCTTTTTAATTCACTAGTAACAAAGGGGGGGTTTTTAGATTTGATTTGATTTAATTAATACTAAGATGAATGACTTAAATGAGTTTAATTAATGAGAAGAAGACTTGGCTTTGCTTTTATCCACTTAATGAAATGTTCGTCGATCCCGGTTATATCTTTAACTATCTTCCTCTCGAATACTCAATCGAGGAGTATATCCAGTTCATCGAGGGTAGTTATTAATAACGAGAAGCGTTCATTAATAAAACTTACTATCGAGTCAATATAGAACAAGCGCCGTATATTAACTTGATAGTAGCAATAAAATCAAGATGAAAACGATTGAGATTGATAACCTCAACACAAGCGGTTTATTGGTTTAATCAATATAATTAATTCCCCTTGGCTTATTAACCATGAGATGCATGCATTAATAATCCAAGTTTACTACCATGAAAGGACCGAATTAATAACAAGCGTATTAATCGACCGATTCTAGTATTAATTAATATATGAAACAAAACTAGTTGATCCTTTAAGTAATGTTCAAAATATTAATATGAAATATGAATAGGAATTAATTAATACTCAAGAAAGAATATTAGAGAAGATGAATCTTACTATAGTTAATATCAAGATGTTAACTAATTGTCATCTTAGTAACACTCCCCGATATTAACGTAGAGGAAGAAATAACTATTACTATAACTAATGTCAAGATGTTAACTAATTGTCATCTTAGTAACACTCCCCAACATTGATATAGAAATAGTATTTAAAAGAAGAATTAATATTCAAGGAAGAAGATTAAAGATAATAACTCACAACTTACAAATTCATTAAGCTTCAAAGTAGCAAAACCAAGATGGAAGAGTTTAGTTCCTCATTTGGAGACTAAACATACTATAAAAATATAAAAGAAATACTATTCTAAACTGAGCTTAAGAGTATGGAAGAAGGGGTGAATTTATTGTGAAGGAAAGGAGGTGTATTTATAGGCTTTTTTGGGGTGCAGGTCGGGTACTCGATCGAGTATATATATGTACTCGATCGAGTATGTGTAGAAAGCTGAATTCGATCCATACTCGATCGAATTTAGAGTAGAATTCATAGCTATACCCGATCGAGTATGTCGGTGTACCCGATCGGGTATAGACACTCGATCGTGGGGAAATCTTTCCTCGCATGTTCCTTTGTTCCCGGATCGGATCCTTGAAAATCAGTATTGGTACTCGATCGAGTATAAGGTATACTCGACCGAGTACAGGTCAAAATCAGGAACTTTCCTTCTTTTTGTCTTGTACTCTTGCACCTTCCTTCACCAATGATCATTTGATCTTGGACCTGTTTAAGCTCAGAATAAACCTAATCTAAACAATTTACAAGAATTTAACAAACTAACTATTACACCAAAAGTGTGTAATTTCCGAAATATTAAACAACCAAAACTAACTAAAAACGTAAATAAACACACGGAAATAACAAACGTATCATGCGTTCAAGTTCAATCATGGTTGTGGGCGTGTTGCGAACACATAAAGCTGAAACAATGGACTGATAATCATCTCCTTGTTGGTTAAGAATGGAGATTAAGAAATCGGTGTCAGAGACCGGGGACTTAGCAAGGGCAATATCTTGCATATCTTTAAGGTAATCGGAGATGGAGCGGTTTCCTCGGGGGTTGCGTGAGAGCTTGTTTTTTAGGGACAGAATTCTACCGGGAGAGGCACTCGCGTAGCTGTTGGAAAAAATGTCCCGAGATGCTTTGGTGGTGGTAGCGGATGAAATCAGCGGTTGGATAGCTTCGGAGCAGCTTCTAAGAAGAGTGTTCACAAGGATTTGATCTTGGCGATACCAAATAGAATAGCATGGATTGAGAATAGTCTTCTGATCATCGAAAAACTGAGCATGAGCGTGAAGATCGCCATTGATGTTAATCTAGGAGGCCAAACCCAATGAGGGTGGACTCAACTTGGCGACCCCAGAAAGGGAAGTTGGTTGTGGTAAGTTTAATAAGGGAATTTGTGGGTGCATTGAGTTACACAATTGTGGTGTGGGGTTGTAAAACCATGTTGGAAGAGACGAAAAATAATATGAAGGGATGCAGGATCTGGTATGGTAGAGCTGATAGTCTACAGCTGCTCCGATACCATATAAACTTTGTATATTCAATGAATTGTAATCGATTGATACAAATATTTAAATAGAAAATAGATAAAGAACTCTATCCCACCTATACAACCTATCTTTAAGGATGATTTACAAGAGATGAGACTAATTAGTTACATCACATAAACACATCAATTATCTCTTACGATGTTAAATAAATTAATTATCTCTAACACTCAAGCTCCGGCTCACGCTCACGTGCACGCTCAAATTCCAGCTCACGCTCACGTGCACGCTCAAGCTCGAGCCACGCCCTCGCTCCAACTCAAGCTCACGTGCGTGCACAAGATTACGCTCGTGAGTACTAGTTGAGGTTGTAGATTGATGACAAATAAGACAAGAATTATTATGTCTAAGCCATGGAACAATACATTCCCTATGGTAAATATGCTTACACGGCAACTCGTATGCATCCTCTCCTGCCTCAAACTCATCCAGGCAAACTGGACATTTAGGTTGCTCTCTGAAATGAGATTCCAAGACTTTCAGCTTCGGAAGCGTTGCGATTACACCTTCTAGCGTTGCTGGCATATTCAAGCCAACACAGTTTTCCAGTATTCGTTCAAGGAGTGGTAACATCCGATGAAAATCGGCATCTCCTAGGAGTGGCAGAGCAGATGCTACATGAGATGTTATAACGAACTCGTATGAATTTTGTGTAGACTGTGGTATCATCCCTCGAAGTTCATACATGGGATTTGCACATTGACTACATGTCTGTATAGTTCCAGGCGAAGACATTGTTGAGTGTTGATGCCTTTGACATTTATTGCACCAATAACAGAACTGACTGTCCAAAACTGCTCTTATGAATGGAAATAGTCTGTGGCTGGAACATGTAGGACATGTTCTTGTTTCATGAGTTGAAGGTGAGGAGCTCACAATAGTATCACATTGGGCACAGTAATAGTCCTGCCTCCGTGGGCTGCTGCCATTGTTGCTGGTCCTGGTGGTGCCATCCATTCCAGCTTATCTTAAGTTATAATGAATTAATTAGCGCAGAATAATGTGTTAAGAAAATGGGAAATGTGTGGTTAAAAGTTGTAGAGAGAAGAAAGTGGGATAAATGCTATGAATCACAATTTTTTTGCCAGAAAGGAACAAAAGAGTTTATATTGGGATGGACGAAAAAGGAAAGAATGAAAATAATTTTGGGACGAAGGGGAGTAATGAATTAACAATGTGGGTGTTATGGAATCTGATCGTGATATATGCAGAAAGTAATTATTTAGTCAAAGAATAATGGCACTACAATCAAGCTAAGATCGACTTCAATGCATTGTAAGGTAAAAATACTTGATAATCTTATATAGAACAGATCGAGATGATTGGATGAAGTTTTGTTCTACATGCAATTCATGCACAAACTCAACTTATAAAGAAAAGCATATTTAATTTTATGCTTGCTTTTTGTGAAAGGAATTGAATACAAGTATATGTGAAGCTAAGCCTGGCCTTCTCTCATACGTCGTATTAAATTACTACGTAGTTTGATTGTGAAGTTTCTCATACTTGTAATTTTTTTTTTTTGAAATTTTTTCAAGTTAGTTTGGGAGCCAAAAATGTCATTATCACATTGTCAAATGCCTTGGAGGGAAAATTCCTAAGACGGCCAAAAATTGGGTACATATGTTTCAAATCTTTCAATTATATAGGCACCACAAATGCACCACAAATGTCAATGGTAAAATTAATATTCGGAGTATAAAAAAATACAAAAGCTGGAAATTTTGGAAAGATTGTAAAACTTGGAGTATATATAGGAAGGAAATGGGAAGAAAAAGTGAAGTTAGCACAATAATTAGATCATTCAAAGGGAATATTCCAAATACTGAGTCGTAAACTATTGGAAAAATTAGAGTTGGGTCCCAAAAACCGAAAACCGAATCAAATAAAACCGGAACACAGCCAAATAAAACTGAACCGCTCAGAAACCGAAACCGAATGTAAAAAACCATACCAAACCAAAGTTGTTTGGTTCGGTTTTGGTTTTTACCCTTCAAAACCGAACCGAACAAACCGAACTATTTAAAATATGAAATAGTATAGAAAAAGGTACCTGTGTTTAAATTCTATTATTATAGGAGGATCCCGGCGCCTAACACCGTTTAAAATTATTAGGGGAAGACAATCAATAGTAACTCCAATTTTCAAAAGTAGCAAAATACTTTAATACTACATGAGGTATATATATCTTTTAGGGAAATTACCGGAGTAAAAACGTTTGTGTATTGCAAAATCCATGTTTTTATTCCATAAGTAGAAGTAGCGTAATTGCTGCAAATAAATGTCTTTAACAAAAAGTGACTAGAATTTAAAAAAAAAAACAAAGATGCTTTTCTTGGGTGTTAAGTTTCTACATAACGTGTCCCTACAAATGTCCAATAATACTTCTACCTACATCAAGTTTCTAACATTACGTATGTGCGTGCGTGTGTCATGTACTCATGTGTGTATATATATGGTGTTTGCTTTAGTGGTCTTAAATGTGTGTGCATTTAACTCGCATTACGTTAAGTACTTAAGTTTCTTTTTCATAGGACTAAGTACTTAAGTTTTATATACTCCGTATATCTTTAAATAATAATGCCATCATATAGATTTCTTGTTCTCGGAAGTGATAACGACCTCAACGGATACTACGACCGCAGGAGCTGGAATGAAGGATGGTGTAATTATTGGTGCTACCTATGCAAAAAACTTGTCAAGTGCCACTTATTCTCATCTTCAGAAAGAATATGTGATAATAGGTCATGTTCCGGTCAACTAGTCCCACTCATTCCTGCAGAGCTGAACGACCGGCCCTGTTTGTGGTGCGATCGTTGCCGAACCCACGAATTCACATATATGACAGCAAACGCGAGGTGCGATCGGTGTGACAATCCCATGTATCAGCTTCGGAGAATCGCATTATGCCCTTCAGGTCAAATTGACGTCCTTATAGAAGTGTCTACACTTGTCGATCAACTGCCGCCCGTGACACTAATAGACAATAATTTGGGTCGCCCGATGATACCTCTCATCGAACGAATAATGCAAAACCGTAATAATCTTCCAGCTAGAAGCAGCAGCCGCAGAGTTATCGGCGCCATACCAGAAGGTGTAATTGCTTCAATACCGATAGTAAAAGTCTTAAAATCCGATTGCAGAGACTCAACTAAATGTCCTGTTTGCCAAGACAAGTTTTTGGTTGGTGAGGATGCAAGCGAATTGCCATGCATGCATCTTTATCACCCTCATTGCATTGCTCGATGGTTGAGGCATAGTGCTTTGTGCCCTGTGTGTCAACGTGTGATAACAGAAACAAGCATTATTGAGCACAAGCGTGCGCACAAGATTGTACTTGATATTGAGCGTGAACTCCACAAGCTCAGTGATCTCAACAAGCGTGAGCGCGAGCGTGTGGAGGAGGCCGAGGAGCATGAGCTTGAGCGTGAACTCCACAAGCGTGAGCGTGAGCGCGGGCGTGAACTTGTGGAGGAGCATGAGCTTGAGCGTGAACTCCAGCATGATAATAGAAGCACATTGAAGCAGCTCCCTAGTGCTTTCAAGTGGGGGAAATGGTTAGGACTAATACTCTTTTTAGGAGTAATTTATGATAAATTTAGAAAAATATAATCCTAGTTGCCCTAAATAATAGATAATACTGCGTACTATGTGGTACATACCTACAAATTGTGAAATTCTAAAAGAGAAGCCTTATACATATATGTACTACTTCATTAAATGTGAGTAATGATTGTCATGTTTGGAACATCTGTGAACTCCGAGATGCATTAATGTGTAGTAATTTCAAAATATGTAGTACTATCATTTTGGCAATAATTAGTCTTATTTAAAACTGCCCGCTAATTTTCCTTCGACAAAACTGCCTTTGTCGACTGGCGGTGCTCGAACAGTGACTCCGCCTGCTCCTCCCAATACACCAGACCCCCTCCCCATCCCACCAGCACCATCCCCAGTCCCCATCTCCTGCACAATTGCAGCCCAACACCACACCCCGACGTAGCCCTTAGCTTCAACTAGCCCACCTTCGTGCCGCCGCCCCAGCTCCGGCCACCGCCTCTACCTGTTACCCCACCCTTGTCATTGTCCAAATAGCCCCAACAGCCCCTCCCTGCACCCACCAATGCCCATCACGACCATACATCCCCCGACCAAACTAAACCAACATCATCCTTACGCCAACTCCTTGCCATCTGCCACTCCTCCATGCCCCACCCAAGCCTAATCAGTTCCACAGAAGAATAGTTCCAGATCTGCTCTCAAATCCAACAGGATTTACGAAGCTACTCGCTAGATTTACGAAGCTCGCCGCCGCCGGTGGAGGATGAAGTTCACCGACGAATTCACGAAGCTCACCGCCGCGACTGGAGGATGAAGTTTCCACCGGATCTATGAAGTTCGTTGCCGCCGCTGGAAACGACGATGGAGCAAGCAACGATGGTTTGCAGACTAAAAGAAAGGAGAGGAAGAGAGGAGTAGCTGTCAGTCTTCGTAGGTGCTGCCCCTGGCGATTGGATTTAGGACCATTGGTATTCAATATATAGATTTATCATTATTTATACAGATTACAATAGTTAGAAAAATAAAAGTAGAAGCTTTCAAATAGAGTTGCTAAAAATGTCAATGACATGCTAGTTATTAGAGTATAATGAATGGGAAAAACTTTTGAAGACAAAAAAGTGAGAACTGGAACAATAATGTTAGAAAGATTCAAAAGTTTAGGCATTAGTATAATTGATGGGAAGGTTAAAAAAACAATTCAACTTTTTTTAGAAAAGATATCTTTCTTTTAAATATGATAAAAACAAAAAAAAGTTTTTAAATATGATAAAAACAAAAAAGGTTAGTGAAAACGGGAAAAAGAATCTCCAAAACTAACATTTTCGCACACAAGTACACAACTACACAAGAGATGAAAGAAAATAATAGGCAACCCCAAAGAAAATATTAGGTGAGCCCATTATACAGTCCATAGCCCCCATAAAAAAAAACAATTAGTAACTCGACAAAAGCTTATGTATACCTAATTATTGAAATTTTTTAAAGTATGGAGTAACATATGAGCCATCGAAAATTGATTGGTTTTTAGTTGAAATTGTTTAATTTTTAGCTAATAAGATGTGTTATTATTAATGAAGAATTTTTTCAATTGTCATTTTTTAATTATTTCACTTTTATTCTACTACGTATAATTTTGAAAAGTTGTGCTTCTATTTTCACTATTATAGTTGTAATAAGTTGTCCTTCCTTTCTATTTTCACTTCTATTCATCTCAATAATACCGTGTGTGAGTTGTGACACTTTAGTACTCATTTTTCTGAATTATGTCAAATAGATTCAAATCAAATGAGAAAAATTTGATCAAATCAAACCATATCTTAAAAATTCAGATCAGAAACATTCAAGTCAAATTTACAAAACAACTTCTAAGACTTGAAGAAATACTTGCTCTCAAGTCTCAATAAACACCCTATTCATTTATAGTATAAAAAAATTACGAAGAGTTGACATGTTCCGTTGTTAAGAGATCATTTTCCTTAGTTTAGCATAGTGCATCAAAAACCAAACATTCCAAACCAGCTGATTGTGAGGTTACCATGACTAGTGGAGGTCTTGAGTTCGAAACCCACAAGGGTTCAAAACTCAATGGACTAAGTTTCAACCATGATTATTCCAGCCCCCATTCAGGCCCCCTCCCCCAGACCCCCCTGGAGGCCTGGAGTAAAAACAAAAAAAAAAACAAAAAACAAAAAAAAAACATAGTGCATCAAAATATTCTCCAAAAAATATGATTCATAGTTTACACTCGAAGTATTCCAAAATAAGAGACACTACAGAGGCACTTGAAATATCTCATTGGCCTGTATTGTCTTTGGTTGATTTTAAAAAAGGTTCATTGGTTATCTAAATTCACCGATTGAAAAGCCAGACTGGTTCATTGAATAAATTTAGAGCAAAAGGGGATTATAACACCATGACAGGCAAAACCAACAGTCAAACAATAAACAAATTGTGTCGTTCAGTTGATCAACCTACACACTACAAATTACAGGTGGACGCTTCAAGGTAAACTGAATTGAGGTTGAACAAACTAGAACGACAATAAAAAACAAAACTGCTGACGATTATAGTTAGTCTATAGATTTATATTTCGCCTATGGTTCCTCCTTTTCCTGATCTTACGTTTCTGGATTTGACTACCTTCTTTATACGGATCCACCCAGCTCTTGTCCTCCCTTACAGCTTCTTCCCAACGCTCTTTAAATTCTTGTAGTTCATTTGTGGATTGACGCCTTATCTAAAGAAGATGAATTTGATTAGATCAGTAAGAGATACCTGGAGTCCTTAGTAAGGATTATTGGCTGCAATGGCTTAATATGCTAGATTTTATAAAAGGAAACGTGTCTTGGGTTTTCAATGTTAAAAGGCTTAGGATGTTTTTACTTGGACTTTTTTCGGTCCTTACCCGACCAGACTTAAATAGACCAAACCAGACTAGACCAAACTTCTATAGTTATAAAATACACAAAGACCACACATTTATCAGACCAGACCAGACCAGTACAGACCAGACCAGACCAGTACAGACCAGACCAGCAAATTTCAATCCAAGTAAAAACATCCTTAATAATCAGCTTATTGAACTTCAGTGTAAGAAATAATAAATTGCCTTTTAACTTCCAAAGATTTTATAAAAGGAAATGTGTCTTGGGTCTTACCTCCGATCTAACATCAACAACATGCCTCTGCAAATAAAAAAAATGGGTTTATAATTGAGTTCAAACATTATTACACTGTTTTAGGCTCCATTTGATTGACGGAGAATATTTTCTCTGTTTTCTTGTATAGGGGAAAGACTTCCTTTTTGTTGGTTAAATATTATAGCACACGTAACCTATAATGTTCCAAGAAATCATTATCAAAATAAAATATTTCCAAAAAATATATTTTATGTCATCAAATGGAGCTAATGTGTGCGCATGCGCACTTGCGTGACTGGTGTCAAACACAAAAACAAAGACATACTTTCAGCAGCTCTTGGGGATTTGAATCCTGAAAAATGGAAAAAATAGAAGCACTGTAAACACATAGCATATCAGAAAATTTGCAGTTATGAAATATTCAAAGCAGCAGCAAAATAAAAAGTTGTCTGGTTTCTAGAAGCGAAAACTAAGTTCAGAAGTTTTTGACATGTCACAATTACTGGAAAACCAAATCCCAAGAGATAAAACTAGAGGTTTTCATTTGGCTCTTTATTTCAGGTATGCATTAAAAATCTTAAAATCGTTATTGAGCTGCATACATGAAAAAACTACCTATTTTTATAGGTTGTGGGGTGATGCATTATATGCATGGTAAAAGATTTCAATTGCGATACTGATTAACAGTGGTAGTAGAAAACTACACTGTATTCAGACAACCACTAACCCGTCACAAGAAAAGGTGAACAGAATCCGCATTAGAGAAGAAATGATTTTCTTTCCAATCCTCATATATGGCATCTATGCTTTTGTTCAAAAAGAGAACAAAAATTTATGCAAAACAATTACCTTTTTAAAAGATTGCCCACCCAACGTTTGGATGCTCTGATGGACTACATATTCACTATCAACAACGCCAACTTTTTTTGTCCGGTCCCCCTATAGAAGTTTGAACCAAAACACAGGAATGATTAAAGCCTACAATCAGCCCCCACTCCACTAAAAACATTCAAATCAACTGATAGTGAAAACATAATGCTCATCCAAAGTTAACATGTGTGTGGTTGTGGTTACGATAGGTTCCACAAAAATACATATCCATAGGTGTGAGGTAGATGACTAAAGATACCTGTGCACAATAGCCAAGCTTCATGTCCATTCCCCATCCATGAACAAGATCATTCTGATAGAAATAAGAAAAATTGAATATTCTCTAATAGCTTTAATTTTGTGAGAATGATACAAAAACAGATTGTTATTTTGTTCTTATAGAAAAATGAAAAGTTAAATATTCCATAATATAGCTTTACTTTTTTGAGAATGTTAGACAAACAGATTGTTCTTTTTGTGAGAGAGCAAAATCTCTCACCTGTATAAGATGCCAAGCACAATGCCATGCAGATTTTGAAAAGACGGGAGCCATTCCTTCCACAAATCTGCAAATATATAATGCCATAAGGGTGAACACCTTTTCACACATCACAAAATAGCGGCCAAAGCAAGGTAGAAACAAGCTTACCCACTGCAAGGAGGGCCTTCACTTTCTTCGGAACACTTTGTACTGCCTCTATCCTCATATACTCTTCTGCTTAAAGCAGCATTCCAGTATTATTTGGATGATCAATGTTCAAAAAGTAGTTTGAGTCTTCAACATCAAAGCTTATTACCTGTGAAATTTGCGGGTTCTTCTTCTTATTGTTATCCGGTGGTGAATGCCAGTTGAATTGGGGTCCAAAGCTGGCTGAGATATCTCCAATCCTCCTGCCTTTACAACTTCGATATATCTGCAATGCCCAAATAAATATTAGCAAAAAAAAGAATTATAAAAGCTGTTAATCATGAGATTATAAAATCTCATTATAAACCTAAAATGACAAATGCGAAGAGGATTCTACCTAAAATCTACAATCATGAAGATGACACGGACTAACTCCTAGAGACGCTCATCCAGTGAATGAAATAAATCAACACATGAATAGCCATAATAAGGCAATCAACTAACATGATGATGGTACCTTCCAGGGTGGAAGTTCTCTACACCCAAATCTTCATCCCATAGGAATATGTAATCATAAATAGATACAACAGCAGGATGTAGAAAACGCTTCGCAAACCACCTGGGAAAAATGGATACAATGGTTACCATCTTGATATCAATGAGAAAATCATCAAAAACCAACTGTCTGCCATAACGAAAATTTGGGTAAAGGATTATAATAGAAGGGCAAAGCATCTAGTAGAATATATGCAAACAAATGTGGTGAGTAAACCACCTAGGGCATCCAACTGCTGCATCAGGACATACTTTTCCAGTTTTCATGATTTATAATAAAGATGAAGGGTCAAATAAGCCCGGTACCCTTCCCGTTGCTCAATTCAGCCCCTGAACTAAAAAATATTCAATTAACACTCTAAAGTCTAAACTCGCTAAAACGATTCAAATTCCATATTTTACATGTAAAGTGCCAATTACTCGCCATGTCAAGGTGTCAACCGTGCATCTGAGGTGGAAGCTAAAGGGTCAAACAAGTCCCTGGACCCGGCCAAGATGTTCAGTTCACCCCCCCCCCCCCCCAACCACAAAAAAAGGCCAACACTGCGATAAATTCAAAATAAATAAAAATAAAAAAATATATATATAGAAATATATATATATACACATATAAACATTAATAAAAATAGATGATAATTTAATACTCCGTACTTTGTATTTTATGAATAATATTTATATTTTACATTTATTTTTTATATTTGCAGTTTATATCTACATTTTATATATTTTGTTTCTTTTAATGTTTTAAATTTTGTGTTGTACTCCCTCCGTCCCTTAAAACTTTGTCATGTTACACTGGCACGAGAAATAATAAAGTACAAAATGTGTGGTTGAGATTTGTGCAGAGGAGTGATAAATAATGCAAGCAACAAATTAATTGACTAAAAGGTAGTGGCAAAGTTTTTGGGACAACCAAAAAAGGAAAGATGTAAAGTTATAAGGGACGGAGGGAGTATAAATTATTTTAGGCCTTGGGTTTTAGACTTTATATTTTATATTTTTACAATTTTAGATTTTAACAGTTGGGAAGTTTTAAAATATAAAATATGATATAAAAGATAATGTAAAATGATAATCATAAAAATATCAAATATCAAATATAAAACCATAAATTCTAAAATATTTTATAGAACATAAAATATAAATATTCAATTTGACTTATAACAGTACAACATATTAAATGTGTGATGTAAAATATAAGTATAAATGTGGAAATAAATTATAATATATACTAATATACCGTATAAAATTGTAATTTATTTTATATTCTATTCTTATACTCCCTCTTTCCCTTATAATTTTGCAACTTTGCCAAGTTTGACTGGCACGAAAATAATAAAGTAAAAACTGTATGGTTGAGGTTTGTGACTTTGCGCAAAGGAGAGAAATAATAGAAACCACAAATCAATTGATTAAATGGAAAGTGGAAAAGTTTTTAGGACACCCAAATAAGGAAAGCTGGCAAGTTTATGTTTTGAATTTACCGCAATTATAAATATTTCCTATTTAAATTTTATATTTTATATTTGCATTTATATTTTATGTTTTAAATATATCGGAATGTTGAACGGTTGAACCTGTATTACGGTTGAGGGGGTGAAACTAAGAAGTGTTTAGGGACTTTTTTGACCATTTAGCTTCCACGTCAAATCCATGGCTCCTTACCGGGTGACATGAAGAGTAACCTAAAGTTCAAATGTCAAAATGGAATTTGAATATTTTAGCGAGTTCAGTGTGTGAACTGGACCTTTTAAAGCTCAGGTGTAAAATTGAGCGATCAGAACAAGGTACAGGTCTATTTGACCCTTTAGCCTTGAATATGAAATACTGTACACTTGAATAGCTGAAAAGTATAAAGACGAACAAACTCTCCAAAATGGCCTGTGAGCCTGTCTTAAGGAAGTGTGCTCTACTACTTACCATTTTGTTTGATTCTGGGCAACTATATGAATGGCCTCCTTACTCCAATCTAGGTCCCACCATCCATCCAAATTGCCATCATAATGGAACAAAATAATTGTGAAATTCTCTGAAAGAAACTGAACCAAACCGGAAACAAACAAAAAAAAACATAGAAAAGGGTCAGGTATAGTATGTATCATGATAAATTCCAGTCGCTTCATGAAAATCCCAAAAATAAAGACAAAACGGACCTTTTGAACAATTTCATCCACATTATCTTTCTGCTTGATGCCAACTGGTATTGCCAACAGGTTATGCGAACCTGGAACGTTATCCTGCAAATGGAAGGATAAGAAAATTACAAGAACTCACATATGGTTTTAAGTTCAAATCAAAATCATAGCATTTGACAAAGTAGGAAATCTTCAATGAAGGAAAGTAAATATACATGCAATAATCAATACATACCTTGGACTTGGAGCTACTTGTTGACCACAGAGGCTTCAACTCAAGATCAGATCTAGCTTCTATGATACCACGAGGCAAACTACTCAATCTACTGCCAGAACCACCATAATCCTGAATCATACATAGCATGTGGAGTATATAAAAAATGCTTACGAGTATGATGATCGTAAAGTGAACATATAATACTATGAATACCTTTGAGGTGTAGAAAGGATCAAATTTGGATTCCATCTGATAAGGAAACAAAAAGACAATGTTAAATAGCATAATGAGATGTGTGCATTGTTGTATTGTGTATTAAACTACATAGTATAAATAAAGGCAATACATGTATGTGCAAATATATATGTCATACGATAGTACATTATAAGAATACATTAGTTTATCCTGCAATATGTTACCCAAATAGTTCTCTAGTAGTGATGGCAGTGATGCTATGGCAATACTAGATAACCAAGTAAATACGTACAAACTTTATGTACAACCCGAGAGATAATTTTCTACATCATCCACTATTAATGAGTTTGGTCGAAAGCTTATAAAAAAAAATAGATATAATATATGTTCTTGTGAATATTTACTTTTAAAATTAATGGTAGTTCAACGAGTTGCAATGAAAAATTATTAGTGCTGACATATATTTTAGGAAATATAATGACATGTATTTTATGCGTATTCTTTCTTGATTATACATATTATAATTTATGCTTGAATTTCAAATGTTATATGTAATACTTCCTCCATCCCAATCTGATTTCCAAAATTTCTAATTTTAGTCGTCCCAAAATGATTTTCCACTTTCTATTTTAGGTATGTATATATATAAAATGACAAACTTTACCTTATCTCCATTAACTTAAAGACATCTACTTTATGAAAGATGGGCAAAAAAGTAAAAGGCAAGCTTCATTTATTGTCATTCCTCAATTCTTGTGCCACTCAAGCTTTGCAAAACAAATTGGGACGGAGGGAGTAGTATTTATGAAGATTGTTCTGCATAATATCAAGCCCCTAGTTTAAATGTTCTGAGTAAGGCACTCATAATAGGACTAATTACCCTAAATAGGACTAAAAACGTTTTATATTCCAAAATAGGACTATCCTGTTTTTATTCCCAAAATAGGACTAATTACTGTCATGTTTTGGCAGTACCAGACTTTAGGGAGTATTTTCCAAACTTGGCAGTAATTACTCCTATTTTGGGAATAAAAACATGACAGTCCTATTTTGGAATTTCCAAACTTTTTTACTCCTATTTCGGGAATCTCCCCAATTAGCAAGGCATAACTCTACTTTTCAAATCATTCTCTAACTAGTTGACACGAAAAGAATTGCACACAACTTTGCAAAAAAGGGCAAATTTCATCTTTGCATACTTCAATGATGAAATTAGCAGCAAAGCCACTTGAATGTCTTGCTCACCGCAAGAGCGTACTTTCTAAATGCCCATAAGAACAAGTGGAAGCATTTCAGAAGGTTATATCTTATAAGCAAACCCTTTTTCAAAAAGGAAAGAAGAATTTAGAACTTCACATGAATCGTTTAAAACTTAAAATATAGGACAAACAAGTTTATGACATGAGTACCTCTGTCCGCTGATATTGAAAATTAGTGGTCCTATATCCAATAAACAGCATTACTGTACAAACTATTGCCATAAATGGAAGCGGTTTCATCTTCAGTCCACATGTTCCCTGCAAAAGTGCAAATCCATTTTTGCAGGTTCCACACAACATAAACTATAGTGTCTATGCAAGTCAAAAACAGATAGCTTTCAACAATTTAGTCTGGCTTAGGATTTAGGAACTACAAACTAATCAGCTATACATACTAACATACCCCTTCAAATGAGTCACTTCTTTTCTTCATTATTGACCTCCATGATCTTATGTCCTTCATATGTACAAATGATATTCACAGGATTACATTACCAACTCTGAAGTAAAAATAAAACAATGTATTAGAAATCATTTAAATTTGCATAAAAGTAGCATCTCTGAAAGGAAAAAACTACACTCAAAAAGTAGCTAATAGCCTAATATTAATAATGACCTCAGGAAATAATGAAATATAGTTATTCCTAGATAACATATACGAGTACATTGAAGAAAAGGAAAAAAAACTTGCAACTTCCCAAGTAGAAAATGCTTTATTTAATGAACCTAGGTCACAGTTAATAATGTAAGTGTTAGTAAGTTACCCAGCCTCTTCTTTTCAGATTTTCAGAAGACTCGTGTTTCCACATCTTTCCTATCCAGGACTTGGACTTAGACAGTAAGACTTGTCATATCTAGTAGAATGGACTGTAGCACCAGGTGCAATAATAAGGTTAACCACAACAACTACAAGAAAACGTTATTCATTAAACTATAAATTTATTCCCAGGTATCTAATAATTACTAGTACTATGTTATTGCAAGTGTGTAATACTGCCAATCCAGTATAAGTGCCTAAATTGATCATAAACAAATTCAAAATTTCAACTTTTATTCTTATGAGCACGAAGAAATAAAAAACCACATATGTGTTACCCCAGCACCACTGAGGAGACTCTCTTTCAGAGGATAGTCCAAATTTAAACCATTGCGTAGTTGAGACTTAAATCAAAGCAACTTCAATGTTTTTCAAAAAAAAAAACAGCTTTTGAAAAGAATAGCACAGGAGAAGACAAGATAATCTGTTGGTGACAAAAAATGTTTTTGAATAAAATTCGTGTCCAGTAAATAATATCACAAAATGGTGGCATGGACTAAAAACTGCAGATATGATGATTGCTTCCATGTAACATGCGTGTGCCTTTCAAAAAAGGCAAAATGCCTGATGTGGGGGAAAAATGGCATTAGGTAAAATACAGCGGAATTAGAAGCTTATCTTCCTAAATAAAGAAAATGCATACTGAAAACGGGAAAATAGCATCACTTTTTATCATATTTGTGAAGGGAGACAGATGCAGAACGCGAATATGCAACCACTTGCACTAGAAGATGGTGATCATCGAGCTTAAACAAGATATAAAATAATGATAAATCAGCTCGCTTATACGGAGTAATAGATATAGATTATTAAAATTATAGCAGGAAACCCATTAACTATAGCAATAATCATTGCAAAGATGGATCCCCGCATGTAACTCAAACTATAAATACTAATGAATTCAGCAATTCGTGATTTGATTCTAAAACATAAAAGTCAAAATGGACAAGGTATGGATACCTCAACTCAAATCGAGCGAATGGAGCAGGAACCGGACAGAGAGAATCTATGCAGGCCTGCAGCTCCAATTTTTGGTGTCCGGATAGCCGCGTATTTTACGGACCGGATGCCACCAGCAGAGACGGCTCAGTGGGTATGGTAATCAGAAAGAGAGGGAGATAAGGATGGATGGTGGGATGGGCTTGTCTAGGTGGGTGGAAGATGAAAGAGTTGCCGACGGGTGTCGGAAGCGCCACGTTTCAAGGGGAGATTAGCGCCGCGTCTGGCCGGCGAGCGTCTCTGTCACGATATATATCACCTAAAGTTGGATGATGATGACGATGGATTCACTTATTCGTTCAGACTTCCAAGTTCCATCCATGTATGTATACCCAAATCCCAATCCATTAAACTAAAATTTCAGTAATCATTATTTTAAACGGCGACTATCACGAGAATACATCTTACTTATTGAAGAAATATAAATAAATGCGAGCGTCTCTCTCACCCATCAATTTTATAATTCTCACAATCTCACCCATCAATTTTTCACCAAAATGGTACTCTTTATCTCGTTGTAAGGTTTTCATTGGCAAATGATGAGTAGTAGTATCTCTTTTCCAAAATACTTAGAGCCCGTTTGGAGAACTCTGTTTTCGGCTTATCAGGCTTATCAGCCAGCTTTTTCACCAAACACGTAACTTTTTACTTTCGCGCGCTGAATTGTGTAATAAGCCGAAAAAGTAAGGTTGGAGTTACTTTTCTGGCTGTATTGGCTGAAGTTACTGTAGAGGGCCATTTTAGCTATTTTTACATATAACTTTTTCTTTAATTTATTAATAAAATATATTTTTAAAATATTTTTTTCTTAAATCAACAGAATCAGCCAAAACAGCCACTCCAGCCAGAATATCATAAATTTCAGCAGAATCAGCCAAAACAGCCGATTTTGGTGCTACCAAACGGGCTCTTAGTGAATTCAAAACTTTGACCAACAACATATATTTAATGGAAATTATTTATAATATAAAATTGATGTGAAAGTATTCTTTTTTTTCTATCATCAAAACAAATTCATGATCATATCAAAAGATTCAGGATCATTACATTAAACAAAGAGAAAATAAAACTGACACCAACTGAACTCTAACAACTACGACTGTAAACCATATGATCAAACTTAGATACGGTCACCCCTAAAAGAGCAACACGAATCGCTAATCATGTAGTGGGCTTGACACAGTCAAACACGTTCCCATTGATCCAACCATACCCAATGACATAAAGAGAGGCTAAAAACTCAAACAAACTGTCAAAATCAACAACAATGATGGACACAAGAAATCAAATGACAAACAGAAAAAAATTACTGGGAAAACTTTCACGGATTCTAGCGCCTCGTACAACCCATGGTGGTGGTTCAGGCGAAGGTCAGACCGTCGCTCGAATGATACCCTGTCTCAATAGCGTACCCGCCGTATGACCCAAATCCATGCCATCGAATGGAGCATTCAATCTCTCCACCCTAACCATGTCTCGATCATCCCTACGCATCTCTCCTGTTTCTTCTACCATCTTCTCGCTGCCACGATCATCCATCCCGAGCTACGTCAAAACCGAGGCAATCCGGCGCAGAGCTGCGTCGATTGAAAGAAACGCCGCACCAGGGCGGCGAAGGCAGGGGCGGATCCAGCATCGCCATTCAGGTGGGGCCATAATTTAATTAAATAATGTAGTTTGCAAAAAAATGTCAAAGTGTAGCGAAATAGTACTACGTATGTTATTTGACATTTTGACATGATTCGTTTTCAAATATAAAATAAAATTTGTTGCAACATAAATGTCAAAAACAAAAATGAATATAACAGGAATAAGAATTTCTGTCGAATGCAAAAACACCTCAAACTCATACATTTTGAACTAATTTTCACGTACCAAATCTAATGAATTTAACAAATTAATTTTTCAGGCTCATATTCAAAAAGGCCAATAGTGTTTACAATATTAGTATCTAGCTCATTTAACATTTGAGATCAATTGGTGTTAGCCTTGTTGTAAAAATCAATTTGATTTTAAAAAGATATTCTGTATGAAGGACAAAAAGATTTTAGGAAAGAGTTTAAAATTTGTACACTAGCTCTCCATTAAAAAGTAAACAAAAATAGAGCTCTAGATGAGCTTCGAACCTGGGACGTGTAGGTCTTCAAACACGGAACATGCAAGCATGTGAATTAGTTAACTTCCATCTTGCCAAACTATTAGTTGAACACTTATTGACTTTCTTTGTTTTTATATCATTTCTTAACGGAATTATATATAATATATATATATATATATCCTATTAATTTTATTTTTTTTGAGGTTGGGCCTAGGCCCTCCCTGGTCTAGGGCTAGATCCGCCCCTGGGCGAAGGACAAACCCTACGCGAGAGCTCTCGCTAGGGTAACACGGCAGATACTCTGTGCATCTTGTTTTACTATATACCCAATTTTATGAATTACTATCAACATACAGTTTATTAAAATCTGAGATACTGAGCTCTTTATGTGAAAGTATTCTTCGTTAAAACTACGTATAAAATTTATGATTTTCATAATAATATACTAATCAAAATCATGGTCCAAATTTTCAGATTTGACTAGCTATTTTGGGACGAAAGTAGTAAGACTTTTTAAACAAGTGATTAAATAAAGTAGTTTCAGTAAAAAAAAAAAAGGAAAGAAAAAAATTACAAAAAATAAATATATAAAGTGAAAGTAATTAAAAAGAGATAAATTGAGGGTGTGGAAATTGTGAGACTTGGCATGTAATAAGTGGAAAGAGATTTTTGAGTAAAAGTGTAATTAAAGAGACTAAATTATTTCGTAAAATGATACGGATTTCGGAAACTTTTAAATAGGACACCCAACTAAGGAAAGTGAAAACCTTTCAAATAGATGGAAGGAGTAACATTTAATTTTGCACACAAATTTGTATAATTTTGCAAAAAGATTAAAATAATTTTTATTGGATTGACTAAGTTATAATATTAGCTATTTTCCATATAATTGTTTTTTAATTTATCAATAAATTATATTTAAATATAATTTTGTCATAATTCAGCAGATTCAGTCATTTGATAAATAAAAAAATCATCAATTTTAGCAGACTGATTCGTATCGGCCAATTTCAGCGTTACAATTTGGAAGAATAAATATCACTTTTGATTCTACGAGTATCACAACAATTCCATAGTTGGTTCACGTCTTTGACTTTGACCACTTTTAGAATATGGTTATTGTTTTTCGTCCATATATGTTGTTTCTGGTGATTAGAATTGGCGGAAAAGAATCACAAATGTTCAAAATATTCATCAAGTACCACAAATAGATAAAGTAAAAGATCAGATATGAACTAAATGTGTAATTATCATAAACCGCACAGGACCAAAGTGGAAATCGTTCCCATTTGGAAACGTTTTAGGTTATTCGTAGTATGTTTTGTGAAACATGTATCATTTAATTTTGTACGTTAAATTTTATAATAATCAGTAAGGTTAACTTTTTACTAAATTGGCTAAAATCACAATAGTGGATAGTTTTAATTATTTTTCATGTAATTTATTTAATTTTATTAATAAAATATACGTGGTATTTTATATAATTCGGCACATTCAATCGATTCAATCAAAATTTCAGCAAATTCTGTCGATTTAGCCAAAAAATAGCGGTTTGACCCTTTTTAACGTTTTCAATATGGGAAAACATTAATTGGTAAAAAGTTGTTCGGCCCTAGCATTTTTTAACGAAACCACCGAAATGGGATTGCAGATACTATCGTTTTCAGTTAACGTTTTAAAATAAGTCATTTTCTACTAATTCTTAAGATCAAACGGCTAAAATATCAAAAATCTTTTTGCACGAATTAACATATAAACAAAATAATTTTGAACGGCTTAACGGGTAAACAAAAGATAATTTTGAAGTTCAATTTTCTCTATAAAGTAATTCTTATTTATTTAGTAAATTAGTAGAGTAGTTTAGTTTTGTGTTGGTGAAGACTGAAGACACAATTTTGATCATTAATGTATTTAATTGACATTTAGCAAAAACTACTCCGTTTAAAAATATCATAATTTTATATTAATTCCACATCGACAAAAATTTAGGGAAAAATTCTCTAAATAGGAGTAAAAAAGTTTTGCAATTCTAATTTAGGGTTGCTATGTTGTTCCCGAAATATGAGTAACATAGCAGTATCTTTTGTCGTATTGGAGTCATTATTGTCAAAATAGTTGTAGGCATTTACATGGCAGTATTTTTTAATAACCTCATCCCAAAAATAATTCAAGCGACGAATCAAAGAGTGATAATCAAAGGTTTGCTCAATTTTTTCTACTCTACATCTCCAAAGGTCTAAGTAAAAAAGGGATTAAGCCAAAGGTTTAAGTTTTTTAAACTCGTTACAAACTTGCTTTAAACGGCGTGTGCATTTTAAATGCATTTTTATGTAATAATACCAATAATCTATATATTTATCCTAATTGATCTAATATAAACAAGTAATTAACATGCTACGCAGTTATATAGTAGCTAGTACTAGTATAAATCAGAATCTTTGGTACAAACTAGCTTGAAAAAGATATTATTAGGATGAAAGAATTGTTGGGTAGTCAATCAAAATTTATTATACTCCGTATGTAAACTCAATTTAACAGAGTCAACAAAATGTAGATAAAATGTTATTTCGATAGTTATGATAGTCTACAAATTAGGATGAAATGTTAATTAAGTAGTAAGCAAATCATAAAAAAAACATAAGTAGTAAGCTATAATGAATCACTTTCAAAAAAAGAACACTATCTTAATTAGAACAATTGTAATTTTCTTTATTAAAGGGTTTCCCATCATGTATTTCATGAAATAAGAGTAAACATATTATAATTTCAAAATGGGATTGTTATGTTTTTCTTTACGAAAATAGCTGTAGTACAAGGTAGTAACATGACAATAATTTACAACGCCATTAATGAAAGTATATTTCTCAAGCATGGCGGTAATATAATGATTCATATTTCATGAAGAAAAATATAACAAACATATTTTGAAATTCCAAAAACATATTTACTTGTATTAGAATATTTTTTCTTTACTCTATATTTTTTTGTTTGATGTATTTTAGTATTGAATTCGCCCCCAATAGATTTAATTTCTGGATCCGCCACTGGGGAGAGGGTGATGTTTTACCTTTTAGAGGGGTGAACAAAATCTTATACTCCATTAATAAACGTACGTAGTTAAGCATACGTAGTATTCAAATTAGAATATATAAAGTCAAGCTGTTACAGCTTGTGTAGAACATATAGTGTACTTTTTGATAGTCATTAACTCATTATATATTGTATTGGTTGTTTTGCAACTAGTAAAGGACTGTTAAACGGTTACAATTAATAAAGAATATGTACTAAAAAAAAAGATGACACCCAACACCGACCGGACGGCACGATGGGAGGATGTAAATTGGACTATAATCACAATCTGACAGATAGATAGTGGGGCTCTGTCCCCGGTACTTGCAGTAGCCCTATGCATTTTTCAGCATAGTAACCCTTCATCGCAGTTGCCGGGATTCGAACCTGAGACCTAACTCTTGTGGCACTCCCTTACTACCAGTTGAGCTACGCCCACCGGTAGAATATGTACTATGTTTATGTGGAGTAGATAATTTTGTTGCAGCTAGTAAATGAGGGAGGTGGTATCTACTTTTCAAGACCTAAAGCGCTATGTTTAGTGCCTTTTTATCCTTTGACCAGCCTAGTTCGTGCACATCAGGCTATATCGGCATATGCAAATAATGCAATGAATGGGTGATTAGGATGAAAAATAACTTTGCAGTATTTGGATTGAGCTTGTAAAGTTGCAATCCTTCTCTTATGTTGGGTAAAGAATGATTCCAACATGGCGATGTCTGGTTTGATATTACTTCCACATGATTCGCATTTCCTAAATTATGTTTTATTTTATACTCGGTGGTAAATCGTGGTAAATTTATAACTTTTAATGTATCGAGTAAAATTTTAACAAACCAATATATGAAGTAGTTACACGTTTATTCACATAGAACTATTGAAGTTCAACAGGGACTGAGTGATAATAGTTCAATCTCTAGCAACGAGATAGCAGTGGCGGATCCAGGAAAAAAGTTTATTGGGGGCAGAATAATCAAGAGATACATCAGAGGAACAAAAAATAATAAAGTATAAAAATTTTTTACCGAGTTTTCATCAAGTGATACAATATTAAAAGTTTGAACATAATACATTGCAATTGTTTGTAGATAGATTTTTGCAATTTTAGCCCCATAACTTTAGGCTGTTTTCATTATCAGTTCTATAATTTAGTCACTTGCAAGTTTGATCTTGTAACTAATAAATTTTTGCTATTTTAAGGACTATTACTCGAAAAGGCAAAAGTATATAAGAAAAGATGCCGCCAACATTGAATTTTCTACCAAAAAGTGTACTTTTCCGGGGAAATATCCTTAAATTGCAAAGATTTATAAGTTACATGATCAAATTTGCAAGTGACTAAAGTTACAGGACGAATAACGAATACAGTCAAACGTTGCAGGACTAAATTTGCAAATATCCCTTGTTTGCCCCGAGTTTTAATCTTTTGAAAGAGCTCCATATATATTTAGTAGATTAATAAATTTTATTTAATTACCTACATTAACATACGGAGTATAATATTTACCATTACGATTTTTTACTTATCAAATGGCATTTTTAATCAATATAAACATGAGCACTATTTCAGTTAAGTCATCGATAAATTAAATAAAATCTAACTGCAACAATAACTTTAAAATAAATTAATAGCACTATAAACCTATTCAGTCGTAAATCGCAAATTTAAACTTAGGTAATCGTCAAATGGGTTTGCTTGTTTGAGAGATTCTGAAATATGAATTTCAGATTCATTGCTTGGGCTGGATGGCCGGACAAGAGGGATATTGGGGGCAGTCAGCTTTTCTTATCGGGGGCAAACATTTAAACTTCCAATATTTACTAATAACTAATATGGATTTACTAGATTTTTATTGGGGGCAGCTGCCCCCATACCTCTCTTATTAGATCCGCCCCTGCGAGATAGTGTGGCTGACCAGGTCTTCAACCACCTCACTCTCAAACTGTTTCATATCTTATCGGGATTTACTTTTGCACCATTTTATCGAGTTGGGTGTGGTGGCACGTGGAGTAGTAGGTGATTCCACATTTTTGGTTGACGTTTACAAGTTAGGATGTTTTTACTTGGATTGAATTTGTTGGTCTAGTCTGGTCTGTTTAAGTCTGATCATGTATGGTATTGACTGGGCCCGGTCGGACCAGCCCAGTACCCGACCCGGACCGCCACTGTGCGGTACCAGATCAAACCGACCGGCTGGGACCGGACCTAGGGCCCAAATCAAGGGGGTTTTGGGGCGAGCTACGGGTACGGTATTTGGTGGAGCGGCCCGGCCGGTCCGGGTCTCCGGGACTGATCCGGGCCCAAAATGTTTTTTTCGAATGGATTGGGTGCTAGGCGGTGGGGCTGGGTGGTTTGGGGGGTTTGGGGTGGAGGTAGGAATAAATAAGAAAAAACAAAATTTAAAAATACATATATAAGACCCAGCTCGGGCCCGGGCCGGTACCGGACCTCTAGTTCCTAAACCCAGTCCCGCCCAAAGCCCTCCCCGGACCCGGTCCGGACTCAGGCCCTGTCCAACCCTAGGTCTGGTCTAGTCTGGTCTGAACTGGTCTGATAAATGTCCAGTCTATGTGTATTTTATAACTATGAAAGTCTGATCTGAATTTGTCTGATCTGGTTTGAACTGGTCTGGTTTGAGATTGAAAATAGTCCAAGTAAAAACATCATTACAACTACGGATTACTTCTGCCTCTTTTATACGAAGTATATTATAACCAAATATATGTGGTACGTAGTAATATTTTATATAACAACTTTACACCGATCATTTCCACCTGTTTATTTAACTTTCCCAGAGTCTACTTGGGGAAGACTTTTTGAGACAGTCTGCTTGATCTGGAATGAGATGGTTTTAAATTTTAATAGTGCATTAGTCAATTTCTAAATTGATATTCCTTCTGTATTGAAATGTTTGCTATGATTTCATTTTTGGGATGTATTTTAATTTTTGCTACATTTTCTCTTTTTGGTAAGTTTTCCTTTTTGGGATGTACCTAATTTTTTTTATTTTTTATCTTGTCATTCATATTTTCCCACCATGTATCCTACTTTTCTACACTATACATTACTCCTCCTTTTCTTTTAAACTTTGTGTCAAAATCTATAGTAACAAATATTTCAATACAGAGGGACAAATTACTTCAGTCAAACTTATTACGAATTGAAATTCAATGTTCTTTTCAAAATCCCCCCCCCCCCCCCCGAGCCCCCCGCCCTCAACGATTGTCTAGGCTTTGGAGATTCTCAAAGATCCATTGGGATGCTTTCGACATATGGTTCTAGCTAGGGATTGATTGGTCTGGTTTCGGGTCGGTTGCGGATCCTTGACTGGCTGGCCCATGGTTTCGGGAGGGTGGGCGCACCCGAGTTGTGCCGGAACCAGGCCTTTCCGGTTGACCTGAATGTCCGTGTCAATTATACTACTACAAATACTAGTGTAGTAGTGTTCTATGTGTTATTCATTTGTGTGAAGATAAATGCGATTCATCACTTGCATAGTTGCATTCATCATAGTTTTCCGAGTACATATAGCCATATGCCCATATAGGCACTTTGAAAGAGTATGGGGGCGGCAGAGACACCTCTAGTCTGACGTTAAAGGGTAATTCTCATTTCATATTATATTTTCTATTATGTATGATAATAAATTAAATGTAATAATATATGAATTTATTAATAAAAAGTTTTCTGTGATAAATATATGTATATAATTCAAATAAAATTAACCTGAACTGAGCCATTCCAATCCCATATTTTGGGAACTAGTGATGGCTACTGGGACTTACTGCCAGTCCGGTCCAGTTTTCAATCAAGATGATCCAATCACGAGTCCAGATTCAAGTAAAAAGTCAGCCAGTCCGGTTCCAAAACTGTGACCACCCTTAGCTATGATAGATTCAACCAGTGAAAGTGATTCAAATAATAAATACGAAGTAATAAATTTGTCTCCATGTTTGGAAGCATTTTGGCGATTTTTGAATGGAGCAAAGGCATCCTTTTGGGGAGACTAATAAACTACTCCAGGCAGTTCTTGTCTATACTTCTCATTTCTTTCATTTTTCTTGTGATGGACTTCAAGTTTGTTTGTCATAAAAATGTATGAGGACCAATAAGGTCAAACACAAGTCCAACATGTGCTATGTTCAACGACTTGAGTTGCTCATTCGGGGTGATCACTACGACTAGTATCTTTTGTATGTAGAGAGTGTTTTGGTTGTAACAGTGCTTGTTTTTAGGATTTTAATAAAAGGCATTTCCCATTAAAACATAATTAAGTAAATAAATGAGGGGGGCCGGGTGATGAGCTAAAGGAAGAACAAAAGGACATGATTGAATAGTTGGACTAATAACCCAGTAATTACATTGGCAGGAATTAGTTCAACTCAACCTTTGCTTGGAAAAACTTTCCTTTTCTTCACTACAGGCTTCATATTAGATCCAACTACAACTACCTCTTCCTTTGGCACGGTTTTATGTAGTGATGATGATGAGCCTTCTTTTCCAAATTCTCTATGGCGCGAAACATGATTATCGTTCACCAACAATACACGCTTTGCCTTCCCAGGTGTTTTCTTAATTAGCCCCCCTTCCTTTCCCACGTTCTCTTTGAGTAAAGCAGCATTTGTGTTAGTTTCCAACACAACGGCTGGGCTCCTGTGCTTGCTAGGGCGGGGCCTGGCACTACGCGGCTTCACGGCACAACTGCGTACCTTTGGCACAACAGAGGTTGTTATGTCTTTGTTGTGAGCCTGCATGTGATGATATGTTTTTGTGATAAGATCCCTAAGGGCACGTGCCACTTTGTGTTCCCGCGTTCTCTTTGAGTAGAATATTACAGCGTTGTTTGCTAGTAAAAGCAAATCTCTGAAGAGTTCTAGGGGGGACCTGATGGAAAGGGTTACAATTCTTGATCTTATAGTTTCCATATCCATATGGCGTTTGATTGTTTTCTTGTATCTTGCTCTCTTCTGATATGGCCCATTTTATATATGGAATGATAAGAGTATAATGGTGAGTTCACAAATTTCATAGCTATGGGATGGGATTTAAGTAACGTAGTCAAATCAAGGAACTTTTTAACTGTGGTTCCACGAGACCACGACTATAGGTTCATTCCCACATCCAATCACCCATCCAGTCAATTTTTAGTTGGTTTTCACTGGATGAGTGATTAAAAGGGCCAGAAGCCGAAAGAAAATTAAAATGGTGCCCCAAAATGGGAAAAAAAATAAACAAGGGAGCAAAAATGGAAAATAATTGAAGTCAAGTGACCAAAAATGAACACAGTGAAAGTTGCAAACCAAAAGTGTGAATGACCTAATAGTGTTGAAACTCATAAAAATAAAAAAAAAATCTTCTTCTAACAAGTTAATCATAACTGTTTTAGTGTTATGTGAAATAAATTAATCTTAACTATATTAAGTAAAACAGGAAAAGGACGTGTCAAATAAGTTAATCATAACTATATACTAAAAGCTTATGTGAACTAAATTACGTTTTTCATAACTATAAAACGGCTCAATATAAAGAAGTGCCCAATTGATGACCATATAAAGTTGGATGTGGGCCATGTGAAAGCCACATATAACCCATCATCTCCATAGAAAGGCTCTAAAGTACGAGTCAAAAGAATATAAAAACATTGGCAAGTCATAATAATACCTGACTATCAAGACGATGCATAAAGACCAATGCAGGTTCTCTCTGTGCAATGGAATTGAAGATATCCATCAACCCACCATTTTTTGTGCGACCAGAAACTCCTCTTCTAGTCTCATCATCACCACATCCATCATTGAATGCTTCCTTGCTGTGAGAAAAAGAAACACCACTCGTAGAGCACATGTTCCCACTCTCTCCAATGCTCCCTTCTTTTGAATCCCATACCACGTCCTTTCTCTTTCTCTTACCCCTTCTCTTCCTTATCATCCCCCCTCCGTTCTTACTATTTGACTCAGTCTCGGTAGTCGATGTTAAAGCTTGAACTTGACATCTGTGTGACTCGTTGGGTTGTAAAGTTTTGGTGAAGCTGCCAGCGGATAATTGAATGCCCTCTAATTTTACCACGGGAACGGGTAATCCTGTTTGGCTGGAAAGGTCTCTCTCAGCCTTTAGAGATTTTATTTTTGTCTTGAGAGATCTGATATGGGGAACAAGAAAATACAGGTTAAGGTAAACTACAATGCCAAAATAGTCATCATGTTGAACAGGATAAGGACAATTTCATCGGTTTTTGTTATATAAAGATTATCATGTGTCTCGTAGAGTTTATCGCTTATTCCAAAATCCAAATAAATAACTAATCCTGCTTCGTAAATTTAGCTTGTAGCAACATACTTTTAGGTTCAGTTTGCAGGTAGCTTTTCAGAGAGTACCAACAGACCCCAGGAAAAAACTTAGCTAATCGAGTGTCAGAACCATTTGAGGAGAAAAAAGGTACATGCTCATTCTTTAAGTCTAAAACCATCACAAGTGCATTATAAGTGATTTTTTTCCCAAAATTGTTTGTAAAGCAGTTTAAAAGGGGAGGAAAACGGTAGAGCTTGTTCACTATAAGGTACACATGCCTTTATCACGAGTCCTTTCTCATTCAGGCATTTAAAGCACTTTTCTAGAAAAACTATCTGCTCCTTTCTAAATGAGCATTAGAAGTGACACTTCTTTTTTAAGTCAAACTGTGAATGTAGTTCAAATTCTTCATCTACAAAACACTTTCTCATTGGAAATAAGTAATCCCAAACGCACTCATGATCCATAACTATTACCAGGTTCAATTTTGTCTTAAGGTTAAATTGTAGCAGCAGTGACCTTTGAAATATTGGTTAAACAATGTTTTAATAGAGCTTTAACCTCAATATAAAAAGACGATTACTACTAACCCAATGGAGCCTTCAGATCTCTTCAATTCCCGTTTCAATTCCTCAATTCGTCTCTTTCTTAGCTCTTCAAACCAAAAACTGAGAGACAGCAAAAAAGGGAAGAAAATTAATTAACCTAACATTAATGCTTTTTAACCAAATAGATTGATTAGTTTTACTTCCTGGAGCATATAAATCAACATTGACACTTTAGCTAAACTTAATGAAGTCTATGTCAATATTCACCTGCATCCAGTATACCGCTTCCGCAACCTCTCGTATCTTGCCTTGCAAGCCTATAATGGTAAAAGTTCCAATGAAAAATGAATTTGAAATCCAAATAATGAGAAACAAAGCTTGTCCCTTTTATATGATCATTATCCTGCTAAAAAAACATTCTTTTTATAGTTTCCCCGTTAAGTGTTGATGAAGGTAAATAACTTTGAATCAACTTAAGCAACAATCTTGCAAGTAAAGTAAAAGAATTCTAGAGAGGAAAAGGCTCCTCCAAATAAGATAACATTTGCTACTTTCTTTTCCAACTTTCTTTTCCATTAATCTCTATGGGAAGCAATTAATTCCCGGGAAAAAAGAATTCAACCAAACTTTCAAAGCATTTTTTTCTTGTTATCTAAGAATTGGACAAAACATCCCTAGTCTAAGGGAATCGCCAAACATTGAGAAATGAGAATCACTTTCTAGCCTTTTAAATACCAGCCCAGCTAACAAGCTATCTCTAAAACAAATGCAAATTCCAATTAGCTGGAAGAAACAAGTTGATATCCCATATAAATTACATTCTACCACCACCATCCTAATATATCATACGGAGTATAAAAATGTAATATTAAATCAATCATTAAAAGTGCTCATTAAAAATGATTATAATTTATGAATATTAATGAGGTAAAAACAAAAAAAATGATTTTCGCTAACCTCGGGGGTAAAGCTGTTAGGGTTGATAGTCCGGGCCTTAAGTTCCGAAGCGACGACGTTCCAGTCATCTGTACCATGCCGGAGAACGGCACCGCCCAGGATTAGCTCCTCCCAGGTCCCCCACCTCTTATTAGGCCTCACCACCATCGCCTCAACTTACCTAGACGACGACGAAAATTCCTCACATCCCACGTAGATTGAGAAGATAATTAACCACCTTTTGGAATCGATTAAGCAATGAATTAAATTTAAAATTCGCTCCCGGATTAAAGTCCGAACCCAACTTAGCACCCGGTGAAACTGCAAAAAGAAAACTCCTTTAACGAGAAAATTAAATGCAATCAAAGGACAAGGATGAAAACGAAAATCGAAAAAGGAGTCGGGAAACAGAATGTTTGGTTGTCCTGTTTGATGCAAAAGGCGGGATTCTGGTGGTTAGTTTTCGGAATTTCGATTTCTTGTGGGGTACGGCAGGGAAGAAAAAGAGTTGAAATAATTCAGAAGAAGATAAAGATGGAGGACGAAAATCAAATACCGTAAACAAGTTTCTTTCACCTCCGTCAATCCCAGGTTGTGCGACTTGAGTTGCGGAGAATCTCTAGATTCTTGCTTTCATTATATTCTCGGTTATGTATTTTCCGGACCAGTTAACTTGCAAAAATCATTTGACGACCTTCCCGATTGAATTTTTGGCTGAAATTTGGTATGGATGAACTAGACTTGATGAGGAACCTACACAAAAAATTGGAGCAAAAAATACCACCGGGAAGGCCCCCAAATGGAGGAGGCCGGACGGGGCTCCGGTCAGGTATACCTGACCGGAAGACTACTCCCGGATGATAACAGGCTAAATTATAAATTTGGGTGTTTTTGTAGTTCGAGAGTCTAATTGACTTTTTTGATATATTATGAGGGCTTATTTGACAGTTGTCCCCTTTTTTCAACCACTTCATTTATTATTTAGTATCATAGAAAAGACTACTTCATTTATTACACTAAAAAACCCACTTAATTTATTGATACGTAGTTTTTATCCAATTCAAAACCAACCTAACAACGAATATGTTAATGTAATCAGTAATTGTACGTAATCACTTGCATAAAATAGGTAAAACTTCTCAAGTTCTAATCAATAAGCTAGAACTTTTTAATCAAAATATACTACGTAATTGAACTTTTTAAAACCTCTATTCTATAATAATAGTTGGCATATGTTTCTTTTAGTGAAATTATTGATTATTTAACCTTGGTTTGCCCATCAATTCAATCCGTCGTCCAACCAACTCCTTTAGCTTAAGACCAATTGTTGAATTCCAAGTTGAGAAAATGTGTAATGATCTTGTTGATCATTTCCTATGATGGAACTTTCCTAATTTGGAATTAGTATTTTAGGAGGTTTCTTTGGACTCAAACTATAAGCTAGAGTTAGTTTAGGAAACAAACTCATATGTCTATAAATAGATGAATATATTGAGTTATAAACTTATGATCAGGGGGCAGATCCTCCGTGGGGAAGGAGGGCAACTGTCCCCACTCAACCCATATATATATATATATATAGGTGGGAAAATATATATATATATATATATATATATATATATATCAAATATAAAATTATACATATAGTCATATAGATATATATTTAATATAAGTATCTTAAAAATTACTCCGTAATTAGGAGTAGATAACTAATGACATCCGTAGCAGATTGGACGTTGTACTCATGCGTGGTATTGATCGGTAGAATGGGCTGCAAGGGTTCCAATCTGTACTTCACTTCTTTAGTTCTTTTGTTGTTGCTTTAGTTTTTGCCTTTTTTAAGCTCAAGAGTAATTTAAAAGTAGGTTTACATGATTGTATTCAAATTTAGCTTGTTTAAACTACTAACTACAATTTAGTTTTTCGCTCATAATTTTTCATTTGAAAATTTTAATAGGTACTACCTTCGTCCCATACAAAAGTTCATGTCTACTATTATCTGGTGAATGTAAAGATTTTTAATCTCTTACCTTATATATCAAACTTTAAAAAAAACTTTTATCGAATTTGATTCTTTTTGCGATTTATAAAACTTTTAGTTGCTTTTATTTATGAATAAAGGTAATATACTTTTATTAAGAATTGGACCTATCTTTTGGGCCAACTGCAAAAAAAAAACATAATAGAGTTTCGAAAAGGTCCAGGGTTGATTTTGATGAGTGGTTACTTTTACTCACAAGAAATGGGATTGAAGAATTGGACCTGTCTTTTGGGCCAACTGCAAACAAAAAGGTAATATGCTTTAATTATAGATGTTAGTTAGTTTAAAGATAAGAAATTTCCTAAATATGACTAAAACATATTGAATTTTTTAAATATGACTAGTTATGTTTTTAGAGATTTATATGACTACAAAGCAAAAAGAAAAAGAAAAATTCTTTCCTACTAAAATGTTTAATGACCAAAATACCCTAGTTTGAAAAATGTGCATTTTATACTATTTTCATCCAATTAAAAATACTGCACTTTATACTGCAGTTATTGCTCGACATTACTGCACGTACGTTAACATATCAATGCACTTCGGCCAATATTAATTCTCTTCTCATCCACTTTAGAAATTTATTTATAATTTTTTTTTTAGATTTAATAATGTTATTATTTTACATCTAATTAAATATATTATATTTTATGCCAATGTTACTACTCTACATTACCGCAATATTGATGGATAATAGGTTATCCAAACATATAATAAATGGAGAGAATGAGCTAGAAAGTGGAGAAGAAGATGAATAGTGTTGAACGTATGAAATATAAATTAGGGTTTACAAGCTCCCAAGGGGAGTATATATGGGAAAATCCGGGTCTGGGCCTCTAATATGGGATTGGCAGACCCAATTACATAAAAGGACTGATAATATAAAAAGCTAATCTAGAACATCCGAATGATAATAATAATAATGTACAATAATGGAAATGTTATCTACTGAGCGTACGTGGGCCTCTGTATGGGCCCAATAGTCATGAGACCGAGGGTCCGAGTCCATATACTTGATATTCGTGTAATTTCTGATTGTATGTTTGTATTTTTAACTAGTTTTTATTAGTTCTAGTTGTGGGAATTACACACTTTTGGTGTAATACTTTATTTTCATTTTTTATTTGTAATTTGTTTAGATTAGGATCTCTGTTCTAAAAATCGTTCTAGGCGTCCAACTAGTCCCCGCCTAGGCGCTAGGCGGTGGATGGGTGCCCCGATTTTTGTCTAGGCGCTCCGACTAATTGGTTTGTCATTTAGGTGATTTAGTCGGCCGCCTATGGCGCCTAGTTGCCCGTCTAGGGCCCCTAATCGGCCGCCTAGGCCGTCTAGATTCGCTGAACATTACTTTACGTTTTAGTTTTAATTTTCTTAGCGATATGCGTACTTTAGCTTTAGACATGGATATAAAGAAATGAAGTTGTAAATTAAGATAAAACTATATATGTTATAACATAATTATTATCTAATGAAGTTAAGTGATTAGTTGCATGATAGTTATCATATACTTCGTACTACGTATGATTAAATGTGATAATTCGATCATTCATGTTGGTTAATGTATATGTATAAATGTATTTTATACACACAAAAACATAATATTACTTATCATATTTATGCAAAAATATAGATAAATATGCAATTTCTATGTTTCCGACTAGTCCCCGACTAGGCGCCCGCCTAGCTGTCTAGGCGCTAGGCGCTGGGCTAACGCCCGACTAGTGCCTAGCGCCTTTTAGAACATTGATTAGGATTATTCTGAGCTAAACAGGTCAAAGATCATTCAAGAGATCAAGATTGGACCTTAAAAGATCAAGGAAAGTGCAAGAAGGTAAGAAAGATTTCGATTTGGAAAAAATATCTATGTACCTGGTCGGGTATTGCCTATACCCGATCGGATATTTGCTTGATTCGAATGTCCGAATCAAATCCGGGAACAAATGGTTGTGGGAGAATTTTTTTGTGAAGATTTGTCACATACCCGATCGGGTATGCCCAAAAACGTGACTTTCTGGGCAATTTTCTAAGATACCTGGTTCAGACCTTGCAGCTCTCAAAAGCCTATAAATACACTCATTTTCTTCCCAATAAAATCATCAATTCACATAGACTCTTTAGCTCAGTTTAGATTAGTGTTTTCTTTATATTTTCTATCATGTTTAGTCTCCAAATGAGGAGCTAAACTCTTCCATCTTGGTTTTGCCACTTCGAAGCTTAATGAATTGTAAGTTGTGAGTTATTTTCTTTAATCTTCTTCCTTGAATATTTATTTTCCCCTTAATACTATCTCTATATTAATGTTGGGGAGTGTTGCTAAGATGACAATTAGTTAACATCTCGACATTAGTTATGGTAGTATTTATTTTCTTCCTCTATATTAATGTTGGGGAGTGTTCTAAGATGACAATTAGTTAACATCTTGACATTAGTTATAGTAGGATTTATCTTCTTTAATATTCTTCCTTGAATATTAATTAATGGGAAAAGGTGCAAATAGACTCATGTACTAACCAAAAAAGGTCAAATAAGCCCTTATTTAGGAGTCTCTGTCCGTCCGTCGTCATTTGGGGTGGTTCCCGGTGGAATTTTTTGATGAAATTTTTTAATCATCTTATTCATCAAGTCTAGTTTACTCATACCAAATTTCAGCTAAAAACTCAATCGGGAAGGCATTCAAATGAATTCTTGAAAATAACTGCGCAGTTATCTTCAAGATTTTATTTGAATGCCTTCCCGATTGAAGTTTTAGCTGAAATTTGGTATGCGTAAACTAGACTTGATGAATAAGATGCTCAAAAATTTTCATCAAAAAATTCCACCGGGAACCACCCCAAATGGCGACGACCGGACAGAGCCTCCTAAATAAGGGCTTATTTGACCTTTTTTTGTTAGTACATGGGTCTATTTGCACCTTTTCCCTTAATTAATTCCTATTCATATTTCATATTAATATTTTGAGCATTACATAAAGGATCAACTGATTTTGTTTCATATATTTATTAATACTAGAATCGATCGACGAATACGCTTGTTAATCGTTCGGTCGTTTCACGGTAGTAAACTTGAATTATTAATGCATGCGTCTCATGGTTAATAATCTAAGGGGAATTAAACCGCTTGTTTTGAGGTTATCAATCTCAATCGTTTTCATCTTAAGTTTATTGCTACTATCAGGTTAATATACGACGTGTGTTCTAAATTGAGTTGGTAGTAAGTTTTATTAATGAACGTGTCTCGTTATTAATAGCTACACTCGATGAATTGGATATACTCCTCGATTGAGTATTCGAGAGGAAGATAGTTAAAGATATAACTGGGATCGACGAACATCTCATTAAGTGGATAAAAGCAAAGTCAAGTCCTCATCTCTATTAATTAAACTCATATAAGTCGTTCATTTTCGTATTTAATTAAATTAAATCACTCAATCCTAAAACTCCCTTTTTATTTACTAGTTTTATAAAAAGAGAATTATTTTTTTCTCTGTGGATACGAACCTTACTTCAATATACTACGTAGGCATGGACCCGGTTCGGGCCGCCCGGCCCGGCCCGGCCCGCCACTGTGCGAGCCTGGAACCGGCCCGGTTCTCGGGTCCGGGTCCGGGTCGGGCCTAGGCCCGGTGGGGTGGGCGGGTCCGGGCTCGAGCCTTGTATTTGGCGAACCGGCCCGGCCGGGTCGGGCCCGGGCCGAATTGATTTTTTTTTTATTTTTTTTCCTTTTTTTGGGGTTAGCAAAGTTGGGCTTGATGGTTAGGAGGGGTTTGGGGGTTTGGGGGGTGGGGGGGTTAGGAAAGCAAAAAAAAAAAATTATGACCGAACCGGAGGCCCGGCCCGGACCCGGACCGGACCCGGTGGCCACCCGGGCCAGTCCCGGGCCTTCCTTCCAAAAAAAAAGCCCGGCCGGGCCCGGCCCGGGTCCATGACTAATACTACGTATAATTGTTGTATTGATAATTATTTTGAGTGCACACCACGACAAAGTGCACGTCAATACTCTATCAGGAGTCCCCCACTCCCTGAGGCGAGAGTACTTGGTAATGCACCCCCTCCCCTGACACGAACATCTTCATCTAAAGGAAAATCACTTTTTAAATCTGCATTTGGCAATCATATGAAAAAAAGTAAAGCAACTTCCATTGCTGAACAAAGCTCGGTTAATGAGCTTTCTATGTATCTAACATTTCATGTTGATTATGAAGAAGGGGATGACTTTGACGTTCTAAAGTAGTGGAAGGAAAAAGAAAGAACATTCCCGATTTTATCAAAGATGACTAAGAAAGTGCTAGCAATGTCGATATCTACAGTTGTCGTGGAACAAGAATTTAATGCGTCCGGTAACATCCTAACGGATTATAGAACGAGATTGAACGCAAACTCTCTTGAGACCCTTGTTTGCTTCCACAATTGGTTGAAGGCCGAACGTAGAATTCAAGAATGTAGAACTCAAGAATTGAGCATCGCCGCCACGGCCCACCCGCCACTTTATTAGAAAATGTATTTCATTTATTAAATTTTTCTCAATTCTCAATTGTACTTCTTATTTCAAATAAATATACTTGAACATTTTTATATCTAGCAATTCTTCAAATAATTGGACAACACAACAACAAAAACGTAACCGACCCGGTACCCGGAACCGCTGGCTACCCGGGCCGGTTCCGGTTCTCCCTTCCCCAACAAAAAGCCCGGGCGGGCCAGGCCCGATACCCGGCCCGGAACCAGATCAAACCTACCCTACCCTCCAAAACCCAACTTCCAAATATACCCTTACTAAATTTGTGTAACTAACTATGTCTCTGTTGATTATGTAGGCTTCATTGAGAAATGAAGATGATAGAATGGCTTATTTAACATTTTTTCATGACATCTCCACAAAATCAACTCTAATTCAAAATGAAGTTAATGAACGAGTTATTCCGAGTTAAGGCAGATTTATCCTTGGAAGCAAAGTTGATTTACTTTCCTCTCAACTTCTCTTTTATTTCAAATTTATGTTATTATTATTTTTTTAAATTTATGCTATGGAATTGTTTGAAATTTAGTCTAGTCATTCCAAACATCAGATTAATCTGAACTGGTCTGGCATTTGTTATTACCGAGAAATTATCGCTCTAATCTGTTAAAAGTTTATTGTTGTGCACTTGTGCTCATGTCCTCTGTTTAAATCTGGTCAAACATAATTTCATTTGATATAATCCGAAACTAAGACAAGTCTACTTCCTTATCTCTGGATTCACGTATCTATAAATGCAACTGATCTCATCAGTTGATATAATGATATGTACGCAACTATAACTTACATCTTCATGTAAATAAATACAGAAATTGGTACAAGGGGAAAGGAAAACTTCGGGTGAGCTATACACCACAAAGGCACAAACCATCACGATGCCCAAAAAGGGGCAATCCCTCAAGACACAAAGCTAGACTTAGATATACCTTACATAATACATACAACTTCGCCTCTCTTTTTATATATAGGGGAAGGTTGAGTGAAGGTTGAGTGACAACTCATCTGATGAGAAGCACCATTTATTAAATAAGCACATCTAATCTCAACCTTCTATAGTTTTAATCTATGGTTATAACTGGAGCTCTTGTAGTTTATTTAACAATTTCCTAAGCATAAACCATGGACTAAAATTTTGAAAAGCAGAGATTTTGATGTGCTTATCCTAGATAAATTCTGACTTCAACCATCCCCAAATATATACACACAGTTACACAACACGTGTATATGCATACATATATATAGATTATGTGTGATAATTCTGTGTGTATATACACAGTCACACACGTGTATATGCATACATATATATAGATTATACTATCGTATGTAATAATTGTGTGCGTGCATATACCCTTCAAGCGCAGGTAACCTGCCTTTTCTTCATCATTCCCTCAAGGTTTTCTGCTACAGGTGCAGTTAAACTAGGATCCTCAAATCCAAGCTCTGGGCCAAATCTGAAAGGGAACGTATATACATGGACCTCATTAATCCATTTCCGCACCTTAAAAGGTATTTGTAGAGAATAAAAGATTATTAGTCACCCGTATTCTGATAAAAGCTTCTTACTTTGGATCCAAGACCAATTTCTGAACTTCTTTAATGGCAGAACTTGCTGCATATAGTGAAATCTTTTCCACCTGCTCAAGTGACAAATGAAGGATATGAAGCGGTTATTTCTTTATCCAAGAAACTCAAAGCAAGGGATGAACAGACACAACTGACCTCTAACATCTGGAGTTTGGATTCATGGTCATTATGAAGGCCCCGGATTTCTTTAGCCATTCTCACTGCTTCCCCTAAACTTTCTGGAGAGAGAAAATCGAGGCCCAGCTGAACAGTGGACTGCATTGTTATTAAAAATATGAACAATAATCTTATTATTATATAATCCAAAAAGGTATACTATTTGCTGAATGCTTTCCACTGTGTTTAGTAGCATTCATCAAGTTTTAGATTGAGATACTAGAAAGCTAATTGCAAAATATGTTCTGGAAACATGTAAATATGGAACTACTTTTGATGGAAAAAAAATCAATAAAAATCCTTACAAATTGTCTATATGGCTAATAGTGTAACTGTCTGTAACTGTTCTCTCAGGAAATGAAAGCAATGCAATAATTTGACAGCATTATTTTGTACAACAGAACAGCACTTGGCAGGGTGGCGGGATTTATGTTCAATGATCAATAAAGATGAAATAATACTTTATCTGCTAAGCATATACTAAATCCATCTTAGGAAACAAATGGGAATGCTGATGGCATCGCCTCACCCTCACCTGAAGATTCCTCAATTGGAAAGGACAGCCTGCGGGAACAAAAACAGCTTCCCCTATATGCTGCTCAAATGACCAAGGCTCTATTCCTAAAAATATTCAAGCCAGATGGATGAATTTCAGGTTTAGGAAAAGAAGTAGAAAATGATTTAGGGAAAATGAAAAGGGAAAGAAACACCAACATTAAACAGATTAATATTAAATATAAAAGTAAACAGGAATAATGTTAGAGGAAAAAAAAACTATGAACATGTAGTATGCAGCATACGCACAAGTAATTTCCCTTACCAAAGTTGTCTTTAAGTTTTTCTTTATCTTGTCTGTTCAGATATATCTTCCCATCATAAAGAGAACTTGAAACCTATGTACAACGATGGAAATTTAAACAAATGAAAACCAAACATGGAATTTGACAGGAAAAGACCCAGTTTAAGTAGGAAAAGAACCTACAGAACTATTTGTCCCACTCACGGACTTTCCAATTTCATTTTCATGACATCTTAAATACTCAATAAGCTTTGGTACATCCTCCCGGCGAAAGACATCCCAAAGAGCTCCAGGATGTTTACACTCTAAAGTGTTTACAAAAGTGCAGTCTTCCCTGTCAATATTATTTGCGTTAAGGCTAGAAACTCCAGCACCCTGGTCCACCAACATATTAGCATCGTTTTCATCCTGCCTATCTCGTTCAACAGGTGACGATGTGTGCAAATCTCCATACACGTTGTTTTTTGGATCATCAGATGCTTCTTTTGCATCATAGTGGGCAAAAGCGTTTGGTGTCTTCTCTGATTTAGCCCTCTGCCAACCTTTCTGTATGACCTCTTTAGTATGTACCAATAAAAACACCTATATTAAAGAATGGAAGAAAAATAATCTGATTAGTTTACTTACTAGTTGAAGAAGCATAATGTCATAATGCCATGCATTTGAAAAATTTCTCTCGAGAAGGAAAGAAGAATATTTGCAACCCTCCCAATTAACTTTGCACAAACATAGTATGAAACCCTATACTGCTAGGGATGAAACAGTTGTTAATTTGTCTATAAACATTTCATGAAGCAAGCACACAAAATTTCTGAAGAAATTTGTACTTTGAAGCATATGCCAAAACCAACTGTGTCTCAAAATGTTCTCAGATGACTATGAGTTGGGAAAATAAAATAAATACTTAGATTTGTATTTTGACAAATACAAATCAGAGATCACAATTGTAGCTACTGATACAGGTTTGAGACACGCTTTAGATTGAATTGAACTTCAAGTATTATGTCAACACAAGTTGCATAAACTAAGTGTAGGCAGTAGGCACATGTACAGAAGCCTAAGTCAGATAATCAGAACGTAAAGAAGTTAAGATGGGTGGTCCGTTTAAGTTCACATTATATAGACTCCATAGAACTTCTAAGCATGAAAATAATACATTCGTGAAAGGATGAGCTGAACTCACAATATCACGCATGTTTATACGAAGGTTGTGCACTGCATCACCTTTTCCAAGCTCTTCATACAATCCATAAGAGATAATGATCTTAGGACCGACATCGTTCTGAAGGGAATAATGTGGCAGTTTTGCAGCAACATTCAAAAGGCCCCACTTGGAGTGAATAAATTCTAACAAAGGGACTTTACTAATAAATTCAGGTCTCTGGTACAACAAAAGTTCTTCTGAGGCACTAGGAGAAGGCCAATCCTTCAATTTTAACATTTGGGGCAACCCATTTTCACGAACCCTGCCATCTGAGTATCCCCTGATGAACTCGCGAAGATGAATATCAATCTGCACAGAAATATTGAGCACAAGAGTAGATGCAGTTGTTAGCACCAACCAACAAGATTATGACTAACCCACAGTACATTTAGGAGATCTACGGCACGAATGCATAAGTCATGCTGAATACTTTAGAAGTCTATCAATTGAACTTGGCTATTTCATTTTTACGCTGCTTGAATTGATAAATTGTCTCAACTCCGTAGTTTCATTTTCATTAACAAAACATGCAAATGCAACATGCGGTGTCTGGAGAAATATGTAAAGTGCACTGTCTCGCCTCTAAATCTAGATAGTGTATTCACATGTATATCAAGGGTGGCTACACACAAAGGCTATAGTGGATGGAAGCTCAGTCCTAGCTAATTTTATAAATAAATAAATGAAGTGAATTTTTTGCTGCTTAACCCCCTCACCCCAATATTTCATTCAGCCAGGTCCCTTCACTTGTCAACCAATTCCCACATAAATTCCTAGATTCACCCTACATATTATGAATGGACATTTAAAAAAAGTCAACAGGGTAGACGTGGATATAAGTGGATACGAAAATAGGAAATTATTGACCCAACCTCAGTCCAATTCAAACAGTCAATAGCCTTCACAGTTATGTCTTCATCTTTTGTTATCTCTTCGGTAGTCTCCCGCACCCCCCTCCATATGAACATGGGATCCCAAATTGATGTTGAAGAAATATTCAAAACCTCTTTTACAATAATAGGCTTGCCTCTGCTCCACTGCTTCCTGAAGTTCTCAATCCCCTCACTTTTAATATCTTCAGAGTATGGACAGTACAAATAATTATCATCCTTGTCCTCTCTATGTGCAGCCTTGCAATGATCTATTTCATAGCCAGGTTTCTCTACATAGCTAGAGTCACATAACTTACATCCACCAACCATTTCTTCAACATTTTTTACCAGTTTTGCCACCCAGTTCATCTTGAAGATGCGCTTTAGAGATAAAGTCAAGGAGCCACAGCCCCCATACTTTTTGGGGGGGCATGGTATAGAGCCATTATTATTAGCTTTCCAATCAGAAATCCTTTTAAAGGATTCTAATTGGACATCGGATAATTTCAATGTCTCTAGAATCAATTCTCCACCATCAATCTGGCCAGTAATATGGTTTATGATACCTTCCTTGGAGGAAAACGTGGCAGCTTCTCTAATATCTTTGCAGCAGCTAAGGCATAGATCATATGAGCAATTTGAGCAGTGCCGATGATAATCAATAATTGGTATTCTGCAGAAGTTACTGGAGAAAATAACAATAAACCCTTCTTTACTATATTATTAATGTGTAATATGTGTAGAATAATATCTAATTGAGTAAAAGAAATTGTTAACGCATTCCAAAACTTAGCATGACAACAGCTTACAATAAAATAAAAAACATGGTGTGAATATTCGAAACATTACCAGCACATCTGTTCATCAGAATTCAACTTCATCCTAGCAAGATCTATCCCATTTCCTGGAAAAGAAGGGTTGAACGCTAATATAGTAAAAGTTGAAAGCAAAGTTCAAACTAAAGAATCCAAAAAATGGAATAACAATGATAAATAGTTTACCTCGGAGCCTTTTTTCCATTTCCACCTCAGAGCATTGCTCCTGATGTATGTGCTTAATTACAGGAAGTACTGCGGATAAGAGGGAAAACAGGTACTGTAGCTTCTTTTGGGCAGAGATATCCTTTATCCTGGCCTAAATTAAAAACGTATATATAACCATTTGCGTTAACGCATTCGCGAATTGTGGTAGGAACATTAACATAAGTTGATAATTCATATAACAAAAGTCCCTGTAAAGCAGTGATCACCTTTATCAGTATATCTCCCCGTAAACACACTTTGCAATTACAACTACCGCGGCAAACAGGGCAAATCTTCTGAATTTCTTCCATTGGGATGTCAGGGTACCTGAAAGACAAACACTCCAGTCAACAATTGGTAAGACAGTAAACCATAAGTGTGACAATCCTTGAAATAACAGCCCACCAAGTCGATATGCATCTTTCACAATATCCTCGTCTATCACATTTAAGGCACCAAATGACCCTGTGACTATTCTGCCGACATTGATGACAAGGCTGCCCACCAGTGTTATCCGAAGCATCAGAGCTTCCTTCAGAATTTTCCTAAGGAGTTAGCAAAGAACACATTGGTAAAGTACCAATGGTGCCGGTAAAACTGTAAATCATAATCATACAGAAAATACTACTAGTTCACCTAATTAATGTACACCATGTAACTTTTTCAAACAAAGCACATTGGTTGAAAAAAATAAAGACCTTGCTAAAACAATTTCCTTCATATTCAAGACAAAACTCCAGTACACCACAAAAACTTTTAGTGACATGTTATTGATTAAAAGTTACCGTCATACGCCCCGAATCAAACGCCTTATGCGATCTGTTTTTGGAAGATTCCTGACAATGTGGGGGTGGTGTCATGTAGGACCTTAAGCTCTCTTCATATGGTGAACCATCTCTTTGAAGATCATCAGTGGTCTTCCCAGTACTGTGGTATGCCCTGTTTGAATTTGTTTCGGGAAAATAACCACTTGGATTTTTAGATGCCTTCTCCTTATGCTTCTTCCCAGACACTGAACCAGAAAAATCCCCCATATTCTGGTTATTAAGTGGTAAATCCATATCATCACTTTTACTCTCCAAGTATATGTCATTTTCACCTGCATGTTTTTTCTTAGCTTTTTTCATACTAGCTCTCATTGCAGAATTTGCGGCCCTCTTCTTAGCCTGTATGTAGTGCTTTTCACACACTGTTTTATCAGGCATGGACATGGCAGTGCATCTCCATTGTTTCCCATCTGACCTCTTGCATCTCAAATCATCAGGAATCCCATTATTATCCTCCCCAGCACCAGAAGTAGATCTTGGATGCTCCATCCAACTGTTCCAATATAGTACTTACTGATAATGTATCATGAAATACCTCACAATGACCAACCTACACACAGTAACAGAACAAATCAATTGATATTAATGAAAATCAATTGATATTATGCAAGAAGTCCAATGTCTATGTGTGGGATAAAACCCAAGTAAGTAAACTGGGCTGAATTTGTAAATAGTGTTATCATTTAAACACTGTTGAGAACATAGCAGCTCTATAAATGCATAGAACGTAAAAAGAATGTCTCTTTTACATTTCTTATTATCCTTCTTTCCATGTTAAACATGTTTTGAACCAAGTACCGAACAGGGTCCACAGCACCTATATCTCAACCAGTCAGGGTTGGTGCCATTAAATATGGTGTGCTAATCAAATGTATAAATTATTGCAAAAAAGTAAAAAACATATACAATGCTTTGTGACAGAAGCCCTTCTTGTTGCAACCTTCTCAATGGGGGTAGTAGTTAGACTTACGTACTAGCTTCACGGGACGCCAATGGCTATTTCATATCTCGCTGTTGATGGATCTTCTGCTCCTGCTGTCGAATAATCCGCTCTTGCTCAATCGTCGGCTATTGCCATAAACATAAATAATTTGGCTAACCGGAAGTTTAAGCTGCTACCAATCGATAACTCGTAGTATATTGATTGTGCGTGCGTGTATGGAGATATATGCGGGGCGGAGAGAGAGACCGAGAGAGATCGAACCTGCGGTATCGTCTGGAAGAGATGGGAAAAGTTCTGGTATGTTGGACGGCAAGAAGAGTGATGCCCGAAACGCAGGAGAAGGGTTAAACGACGTCGTAGAGGCACCATCCCAACACGCTATGTGACTGAGAAAAATTGGCATTTTTGCAGAGGAACCAACGTACAGTCAACTCCAACAGAAGAAAAACAATTTTTTATTTTCATATTACCTTTCTTAAATAAGAACAACATATTGAAGTTTATACTGTTCAAATGTTTTAATTTGAATACATTTTATTTATTGATGTATCAATAATTTTATTTGAAAAAATTATTGTTAATTTGTCTCAATGGACATTTTTAAAAATATGATTTTTCTAAAAAAAATTAACTAGTAGAGAATTATATATATTAGTACAGGAATAAGGCGCATACATTCGAGTACCCCTCTTATCCTACTGTAGGTGGAAGGCTTTGCGTCACTAAGGTAATGATGATAATGATGAGAGAATTATATATATTAATGGTCAAAGTTGTGTATTGGCAAATGTGAAAAGTTGAACGTTGTATTTATTTAAGAACGAAAGAAGTATAAAATAGCAGTTTTTATATAGGTTTTGTTAAAAATATTAATAAAATAAAATTTATTTATATAAATATGACTTGTAGTTAGTGCAATATAATGTTATGATCACTTAAGTTTAAAAATTGAAGTTAATTCTTCTTTCACTCTTCAATAGTTGGAAAGTTGTTAGATAGTTGTCCTTTCCATTTTTGTAAAGTTTTTCCAATAACTATACATATATACGGATATACCTTCATTCTTTTTTCTAATTTTTCATTCTTTTTCTATTTTTCATTTAAACACAACTCACTATACCTTTTACATTATCTTTGTTATTTTTCACTTAACACATGTGCGAAAGTATAAGGGGACAAGTATTGAAAATCGGAGAGAGTATAAGTTAGTTACTAGTATAGTCACTAACCACATTATTGTAAGGTGGAACTTGACTTTGCACCCCATGTTTTAGGCCATATTAGACTGGGGGATTTCAACAAATAAGACTTAAACATATCTCATTTCCAAAATTAGGAGTAGAAGCTTACGTAGGACTTAAGTGGGCATGTTTTGACTCTTATACCCCTAACTTAAAATCAACTTAAGAAAAATTGCAGCGACAATATTTCAAGCTCCTCCAGTCAAATTCAGATTCGCCGTCTTCGAAAGCATACTTGGAGCCGCAGAAGCGTTTTTCCAGACCGACGAAGCTTCCCCACGGGTAGTCAAGCTCTTGCACGTCCGACAACATAGAGCAAAAGTCTTTCCTAAAACATCCCTTGGTTGATCCGAGCCTATATGGGCTGGTGGTAGGCGGCGGCGTAGCGGGTTGAACTCCCTTGCCAAATCGACTTCACCAGATCCATCGATTTCAAATTCAAGCTGCTCCGGTTGACTTCATCGGACGCCATCGCCAGAGGTTTCTTCCTCTTCTTCTTCCTCCTCTTCCTCCTCCTCCTCCTCCTTCTTCTTTTCTGATTTTAGACATTGATTCTGCCAATTTCGAACTTTTATTTCATTGTTTCACAAAGCCACCGGGTACTCTGCAAAACTTTTATAGAAATCAGATCCAAAATTAAACTTGCAAACACTAGACAATACATAGAAAATAAGTAGTCAGTAAATAGACAATAAGTTCTAACAATAGCCCCATAGCAGACAATACATAGACAATAAGTAGTCATCAAATAGACAATAAGTAATTCTTTAATTCAGAATTTGGAAAGTTAAAAACAAAAGGAAGAAAACAGAGCACAAGGAGATGAGACGTAAGAGGAGAAGAAGAAAAATGAAGAAGAGAAGAATAATGTGTTTTTCATCCCAGATCCTGATCCTGACCTAGTCAACACATTATTTCTCAACCTAAAAAACGAGAAGTAATACGGTTTGATCTTGTTTAATTACTCGATCTATCTAGTTTAATTACTCGAGAATCATAATTTTGCAATCACGAATTCTGATGAAGCTGGAAAGGAATTTGGCAGAGAACAACAACTCCAATCCCAAATTGATTCTGAGTTGGAATGGATGCAAATCGAGTTCGAGTTTTTGATGCAACGTCAACGAAGTCCAAAGCGAAGCTTGAAGAGGGAGCGAGAGTGAAATTCGTTAGCGAAGCTTGAAGACGAAGTCCAGGGCGGCTAATTTGTAAGCAGTACCAATAGAAGAGATATTTACACCCAGGGGTATTTTAGGAAAAGTGATTTTAAGTTTCTTAAATTAGGAGTATATTTGTCTTACGGAAGTAATACTCTTAAGTTGATCTTATTTTAATCAAAAGCCTATGAATTGGTCCTACGGGAAGCAATTTTCTCTATTAGACTTTGCACCTCATATTCAAAATCATTAATATTTGCACCCCATTAGCTCAAAAATTGTGAAGGAGTGGGGTGCAAAGTCAAATGATTATATAGTGAAATAGGGTGCAAATATTAATGATTTTGAAAATGGGGTGCAAAGTCCAATATTAACCAAAACATGGGGTGCAAAGTCAAATTCTCCCTTATTGTAAATACTCCTTATTTTAGTCATAAATATGTAATTATTATTTTTTTATACTCCGTATTAATATCGAGAAAGCATACGCGACAAGTTCTAGACGGTTATTAGAGATCCAATCGTGAGCTCTAGAAATAAATATAGAGTCAGTCACCTCATACGAAACAATCTGACTCGCTAAACCTGAAATGGACAATTTTAAGACCAAAAGAACCGAAACCAAAACATTGCTTATCAAAAGTGCTCCAAATATCCAAACCAAACTTACTCAAATTAAAATAAAAATAAGTACTACCGAAGAAAAAATAATATTTAAATTAAGTTTTTCCACAAAACTCTTCTTGACACGAAGGTGGTTCCGGAGGAGGATGAACTCCTGCAATATGAATGAATACTAAATTACTATTCTTACTTCATTCTGAATAGTCGTAGAAACAAGTGGAGTAGAAATCCTTTTTTATGCATGCCTCTACCAATTTCTACGGCCAAAAGAAGACAGACAGAAAGTCTGACCATGCGAAACTAGCCGGGATACCAAATCAACTCCCCACACTCAGGGAGACAAAACACATCGGAGCACCAGTGTCCAGGAAAGAACCTTCATAAAATAGAACAATCACAACAATAAAAGAAGAACAATGAATATGGGTCATACCCCTATCAAGAATCTTCGATAACGACATCACCTAACAAAACCAAATCCAAGTGTCGAAACCTATAGCAAGTTGGAAAACCTTTGTCTGTACGTGGATGTGCTTCCATGCATTCTCCACGTCTGCTAATTAGAGCAAAGAAATGGGAGATTTAGTGTTGTCGCCACCATTCCTAGGATTTTCAACTCTTATACGATATCCCCACCTTTCAGTGTAAAACAAGTTAGAAATATAAAAATAAGAGTCAATGTTTAGAATTTCTAAAAATGATTCTTTTTTATGCTAGGACAAGAATACCTTGTAGGGTTGGACCAGTCATCACACTGTCTCTGCCGTCATAACTTCACCGCGATACTGCCTCTGGCCTGCAGTCGGGCTACCCGCCATTGCCCCGTATTGCCCGCCAGTCCGCCGCCAACGGACTGACCTTGGTTGTGCAAGGGAACTATGAGCAATTAATTTCATTAGATAATTATATTAGGAGTATAAGTGTAATGTTTAGTCCTGTTTAGGGAATATTTAGCATAGACTTCTATTTAGGGAAAAGGTATGTTTTACTCTTATTTAAGGTAATTACTTAAAAAGTAACTAATGCCTTATCACTACAACAAAATAGACCTTTTGTATTCCTCGTGCAATGTTACATTAGATGATTTAAGTGTTACTAAAGGCTAAAACAACACTTTTAATTATCAGTGTTTACATTTTTAGCATGTTATGTAACATTGAATAAAAATGTTACATGAATAGTGCAAATGCAACACTATTTTGCAACACTTTATTCAATATCTTATGCAACACCTTTTAGAAAAAAAAATGCAACAGTTAAAACATGACATTAAGTAACAGTTAAAACATGACAGTAAAACATGACACTTACGTAAAAAAAAACGTAACATATACTACGTATATTATACCATTTTGTAACATTAATTTAGATCATGCAACACAACAATTCTTTATGCGACAATTTTGTTGAGACTGTCGACACTTATATCTCTTATTACAAACAACACAATTTCTAAGATTATGTAACACATACATGTATACTGTCTTCACTAGTCATATTTACCCCTGTTACGTCATATTTATATTAGCTGTTTTCTCACAACTTTTATATGATTTTGAATTATATATTTATATTTACGTAACACAAATAAAATTGGACATTTAACATAGATCAATATTTATATGATGCCAAAATATTGAATATTGAATATTTACAATGAAGAAAGCATTCAAAGTCGACAACAACTAGCATCTAAAAAGTACTTCTCTAAGCATGGATACATACTTTTTAAGCATAGATACATAAAATAAATTATGTATCTTCTCTAACTCAGGAGTCAACTGTAGACGGTATGCTACAACCCCCATTCTCTCTAGAATTCTGAATGGCCCTATGTGGCGTGGATTAAGCTTTCCCCGGCTTTGAAATCTAATGATTCCTTCCCATGGAGAAACTTTAAGAAATACCTCGTCATCAACCTTAAACTCTAAGGTTCTCCGACGCTTATCGGCGTAGCACTTCTGTCTATCCTGAGCCGTTTTAAGTCTCTCTCGAATCAACTTCACCTTAGACTTGGTGATCTCTACCAATTCAGTACCCTCGAGCTTGACCATGCCAACTTCATCCCAGCATAACGGTGTATGACACCTCCTCCCATACAATGCTTCGTATGGAGGCATGCTGATACTTTCCTGATAACTGTTGTTATAGGCAAATTTCACTAGTGCTAAGTGATTGTCCCAACTTCCTTGGAACTTCAATGCACAAGCCCTCAACATATCTTCTAAGATCTGTATAACTCTTTCAGACTCTTAAAATTTTGGCCAAAAATGCAATGTGAATCATGGGTCTCTATCGGACATGATGGTAACTAGAACCCCGCGTAGCCTCACGATCTCATCCGTATACAATTTGGCTAGTCTCTCAAGTGGGTAGTTAGTGATGATAGGTAAGAAGTGTGCACTTTCGTGAGCCA